CGTCGTGCTAAGTTGATTTCAAGTGACAAAACATCTTTGAGCTTGATTATTTTGTTGAATGCAGTACCAAGTTACAAGAGAATAAGTTTGCATAAGACATTGAGTTGTTAGAGGATGTTCCCATATATAATTACTTTTAATTTTCACAAACTTTAAATTCATCTCAAAGATTTAAGAAGCATACTCCCCTTGGAAGTATTTATCTTCTTCTCTTCTTGGAACATTGAAAAAATGCTTTTCAGTATTGTGCCATATATGACAACAAGAAAGTAAGTGATGACGACTGCGGACAAACTTTTTTCCGCTTGTCTACTTCACATTCATCACAAAATAGTTGTTTTCGAGAAAGAAAAGATAAATAATGAACCAGATGGCGTGAATTTCTTGGCTAGTTTTAAAAGTAAATACACTCTCATAATGTAACATTAGGGTTTAGAGAGAAGTTCACTCGAAGGTAGAAACGTAAACTCTGAAGATGAAAGATACCAACAATGGTTCTACTCTGCCTTATATAGCTCTCACCAACAAGTACAAGGAGATAATATCTTAACCCCACCATCCATCCCACTCCTACTGGATGTATAACGTGACGGATAACCCTAACAAGCACACGGATTGATGACGCGGCGCTCTCAACTAATAGACTAACTAACACACTCAATCCTTACTTACAAGCACACGGATTGCTAACGTGGCAGTGTCAACTAACACATTCACTCTCTACCTACCAAGCGCGCGGATCGTTTACGTGACAGCTATGACTAGTGCATGCTAAAGTATCTATATCAACATTTAGATTAACTTTTACTTTAGTTTTAACTAACTAAAGATGGTTACACATAAGCATGAATCTCTGAAAAAATTGAATGTGTTTGCTGAGAAGTCCCAGAAGACAATAATGCAAAACTTCTATTCTAAAGTATTCAAGAAACATGTGACTCCCTATAAAAAAACATGGCTAAATTTGCTTGCATTGCATGGTTTTTAGTAAAAAAACTAAAAGACTAGATTTGTCAAGGCAATTAAAAGTCAATGATAAAAATTAAGTTGTTATGAATTTTATACGCGAAATTTTCCATTTCAAAATAATATACATCTAGTCATCTATTTTGAGTAGTCAAATAATGAATCAAATAGTTACAAAATTTACATATTAAAAAGCTAACAAGGAGTATAATCGAAGATGTTGATTGCCAAGACAAGTCAATTGACAGATAGCCCCCCAAGTTCAAGAGCCTTAAATCTCTTTATTCATTGTGAACTACTAGATATCTCAATTTTTATAACATATTGTTTATAAATTTTAAAAATATATTTATTTTTATACCATAAAGTAATGTTTTTGAATTTACATATAATTCATAAATTTTATAAAGTGTTATTAAGAATGCAAGCTTGAAATGTGTATGTAAACTTGCGTGTAATGTCAGGATTTGATTTTAAGATATCACACCAATAACAATCTTATCTGATTGACATAACCTTGTCATTGTAGCCGGATTTACTTGAAGATGCTCTTGAGTAAAGAAAATACTAAAAATACTTTATAACTCTGACTTACATTTGATATATTTTAATTTCGTGACCGGAAGTACAAGTCTACGTAAGAAGTGCCAAATCTACTTCTACCTTCACTCCTTTCTCGATGGGGTAACACCTTGCTGTGACCAAGGTGTGCTACCTCCCATCTAGAGTTAACCACTTCAAACACCAAATATCACTCCCAATCTTCTAGCCTACGTCTCATAGCTACACTACAAGGAAAGTCCAAGATTGCACAGAAGTACTCAATGGAAATTGGCTCCTAGTAAACTACATCCCGTCACACAAGGAAAGAATCACCAACTTACTTCTCATCAGCAATGAGAAAAAGAAGTGAGCACTAACTCTCAGCTCTAAGCACATAATCTCTCGAGGCCACTTCCCACCTCTATAATCCAACCAAACATGCAAATGACAAAGAATCTTGCCAATTGCTACTACCGATTACTCTTGACTATACTAGCTCCTACGCATCTGATATCGGACTTGATAATTCCACAACCACCGAAAGCCATTCGTTTGAAGTACTTAGACACATAACCTCAAGCGCTACTCTCGCTAGTTCGGACATTCTGCTTGCTCTAATGAAAGCATGTGACTTCACTCAAGGAGTAAACTTACTAACAAACTTTCTCAAAGTATATTTCTTTCGATGCGAGGATGATGCTCTAAAGGTGATAACTATGCATAATACTCTTAACACATCTTTAAATTGAGTAATTATCGATGCCAATGGATAGGTGACAATGGAGTGATGGCAATATATGATTTCTACCTTCCTTACGGTCCACTACATCAAAAATACACAAGTATACTAATGTTTGTGGAAAACTACTTTTCTACTTCCTATAACTGATTCTTTATGCATGCTCCGGCCAAACCTCCAAACTCCTGGACTGCTTAAATATGAAAGTCTATTGTCAAGTTTAGTAGTGTCTTTCAAACGCTTATAAGTTCATGGGCAGTGGAGAAAAAAACTATTTATTGAAAAACTTTAAAAAAATACTGCAATTTTGTTTCTATCTAAAAAATAGACACCTCACATGTTAGTTATACATAGTAATTATTATGAAATTACATGTAACTGTTAGTACATGTAATTACATTATTTTTAGTTAGACAAATTTGAGATACATTTAAAATATATCATTACAACTTTCCATCACAAAAGTATCAATAGAAGATATAGTAATGTATCATATATAGATTTCTAAATCAATGTCATGATAGATTTGCATTAATACAATACTTCACTAAAATATTGATTAAAATCACAAAAGCTATGATATTTGAAGAAAATCTTGACTATAATAAATTTGTATACTAACATTTGAAATCTTTAAGTAATATACATACATATAACCAAATTTTAATTCAATCATTCTTTAAATATATTTTTGACATAATTGATATATTTTGGAAAAATAATTTCTTAAAGGTCAAATATATATTTAAAAATATTTTGGTTAAAATTGATATCATATGAAAATTGATCACAATGAAAAAACATTGAAGATTATCACTTTTTTCTTTCATCATTATGATAAAGAAGAACAGTTTTTTTCAAGTCAACTATGTTAGAAGTAAAATTGCTTCTAAAAAGTAGAAAGAATATTTTGTTCATATGTGACATTATAAGTATATATATTTTGATCTTATCAAGTAGTACATGTGATTCTATTTGTAAGAATTTTAGAAATACTAATTTTTATATCATCTGTTTCTCTTATTTTAAAAGTAAGAAAAAAATCAAATACACAGATGTTTTTCAAAGGTATAAGAGATATTCTTCAGTTCAAAGCTTGAATTGAATGATTAAAGTGTATTCAAAAAATAATCGGTACATAAGATAAATAGACATCATATTTGGTTAATAATTATATTGGAAGTAAAATCAAATTTTCAATATTTTTTACTAAAAAAACTCATATATGGGATAAAAGTAATTAAAATTCCATAAATCAAATAATTCTCAATACATATGTGTTTAAGAATTTGAAATATTATGGATATTATTGTTATTAAAATAAAATAAAAGTATCATTTATATAATTATGAATATAAATTCATTACAAGGTAGCACTGGATTTAATTGAATCCTTCAACCAATCAGTACAAAAAGCTTAACTTTGAAATATTCATCCATTTGATCAATTATGTTAAACACATGTTGTATGATTGTCATATGATAGCAAGTTCTATGGATCTCAAATACATTTGATGGAAAACTAAGAAACAATTTTGGAATTTCATGTCATATTTACATTATAAACTTGTTGATATATTATACAAAGTTGTTGTATGAAAGCATGTTGAAATATATAAATTTTTTGGTCACATCCCACTATATATTTGGAAAAATGGATACATACAACATCATCTTTTGAGAGTTATTCAACTATAAAAGAATCTATATTTAAATTTTCATCATCGCTAAGAAGTCAGCATGCAACAAAAATGTAAGACAGCTGATTTTATGAAAAAATATTCTCATCAATATATGAAAATACTCATAGTGAGATAATAATAGAGCCGGAAGAGAAATTATGTGAATACAATATTTGATTTTATCAACATTCTTAGAAAGAAATAGCATTAAAAATACTTCAATGGAAGTAGTTCATCTGTGTGAGATATATCTTTATCATGATATAATGTGTTTCGTGGTGAAACTAAATTCTCATATCCAACAAATATCCATAGAGCGTGCATATTGTATGCCAATGTCATATATCTAATCAACACGAGGAACAATACCATAATCAGAACTTGACTTCATGCACTTCCTCATGCCTTTATTCATTGAGGTGTATTATGGTTGACCGTAACGCAATCTATTCATCGGAGTTGACGTTCAAATAATATCTGTGGTTTGTTTGTTGTGTAATTTGAAGGTATATGATTTGGATCTCTAATGTCTGTCGGGAATCCTTGTATGGTGTACTTGAGATCGTGACAACCACGTCGGTGGATTAAAGATATGGATTCCAATGACAACTTAGACAACTTAGAAACACCACTTGAAAAGTAAAAAATTATATCATTCTTCAACCTCCTTTCCACAAATATTAATTTCCCGACTTTAGTCCGAGCACAAATTATTGTGTTTGTTTCAGCCATTTAATTTATAGCTTTGAGATATTTTCCTATAATATTAGCTAGTGTTACAATGTGCTGTCGACTCTTGTCTGGAAATTAAGATTGATGGCTGCTCTAAACCGCAGTTACACCGAGCAACTATCAATCGTGTGCCTACACCATCAGAATTCCTCACGAGAGAGCACTTGGTATGCCTTTGATTCCTAATGCTTTTCATAATTATTTTTACAGTATTCCAAACGCCACCGAGGGCGTTGGAATAAATAATAAAAAGACAGTGCCAACAATCATGGGCCCAATTATGTGCCCAATTATAGTCCTCGATGCGGCTCAAGAGTTAAGGGGGCCTCGTCGCAAGCAAAGCCCTCTGGGCGGGAACGGGAGCGGGCAGCGAGGGCCACAGCACGAACGCGTTCTAACGTTCCTTCGAGCGATCGATCGATCGGGTTCGGAATTCATCGCGCTATCGAGGGATTTGAGGGTTTGAGGATCGAGGCTCGAGTCGGAGGTGGAGCAAGCATGTCCGAGGTCGAAGGTCCTCGAACGCCTCTACAGAGGGAATGTGCCGCTTCGGACTTTGGTGCTCGGCACGCGCAGCGAGTGAGGGCGATGCTGGACTCCGGGTCGGACCCTAATGAACTCGACGGCTTTCAGCGATCCGCCCTCAATTTGTTGTGCTCCCAGACCGGCCACACGGAGACCGTTCGCCGTTTGCTCGAGGCTGGTGCGGATGTCATGTCTCAGGATATGTGGGGCAGGTGAAAAGGCTCTCCCCTTCTTTCTTTCTTCCTTTCTGTCGTGCTATGATTGTCTTCATACTCCAATTTGCCACAAGTTTGGTCTGCTAGGGACACGAAGATCGATGGGTGCAATTCGGTAATTTGTCTGTCAAAACCGATAGTCGAGTGTAATTGTGGACTGTCTTCGAACTTCTTTCGTGAAGCAGGCAATACACTTACCACATACAGTTATAAATTTCTCGACCGGAGACAAAAGATTAACATCGAACGTATGGTGGACTTTTGAGTGTCCCCGCTAATTCCCGATTCGCTAATTTTTCACGTGCATCAGTTGACTTAATCGTCAATAAAGGCTGTGTCTATCAATCGTGTGTTCGAGGTTTTTCTGGGGTCGCTTCCCAGGCTTTGGCATCGGGGAATTAGTCCTCCCTTCCTTGTTGTTATGCTCTTTTCTTCAGGAATGCTAGAATTGAGCCTCGGTCTTGTGGATCACGATGCACGGCTGAATGTTAGACGGTGTGTTGCGCTGTATTCCTAGGGTTTGAAGTTATGGTTGTTGAAGGAGTGGTTAATGTTTTGACATTTGGACAATTCACACATTCCTGAGTGACTTTCTGTGATTTAAAAGGACATTCCTTTTATATTCTCTCAAATAGTGTAGATGAAGAAGCTCCCAAGATTCCAAAACATCACAACAAATTAGGTAGTAAATGGAAACAGAGAGATCTCCCAGTGAGGAAAAAAAGGGTAGATCCTCCACTGAGAAAGCGAATCGATTGTGGATTTGCAGATGAAAGAGTCTGTGGATGCAATTAAGACTTGTAAGTTCAAAGCTTTTGGAACAAAGCCTGGAGTATTCGCAGCAATATTGGACTTTGTAGTCAGAGAGTAGGCTTTACAGAGGCTACCCTCCTGGTTGGGCAGGACTCCTTTGCACTGGTGCGCTGATCGCGGATGGCTGGAATCTGCCCACTTGCTTCTCGAGAAGGGTGCATTAGTCAATGTCACCACCAAGGTGAAGCCACGTACCCATGTGTGGAAAGTGAAGGAAATTTCTCTCCAAGGAGACATGGCATCAGATAGATCTCTAGAGTTCGCTGAGATACTGATAATTGTTGGGCATCAGATTCTTGGAAGAACCATAGATATTGTTAGAGTTGACTTCAATGTTTGATCATGTTTGTTATGGTGTATTTTCAAAGTTTGAACTACAAATTTGCTTACCACCTGCATACTCTTTAGAGTTCTTCATTGATCTGTTGTTTGGGTTTTGCTCCGGTTCTGATCACATCTTGTTTGCAATTTTCATCCTTTCAGAATGGCGATAGTGTGCTTCTGTGGGCAGCCAAAGCTGGACATCCGTCTCTGGTTGAGCTATTTCTAAAAGCAGGTATTTGTTTCTTGTTCATCTCTTTCCATCGACACAAGTTCATTAACATTTTATAAAATATTAAAAATGTACTAATATTCACTCATCAAGAGTTCTGTATCATGAAAGTGATCCAATTTTGTTTTTGTGCATGACGCATGTCGTCGAACAAGTTTGGCTGCATGGAGATTGCTGTCAAATAGAGTTAGTTTCTTCCCTGACGTACACCATTTTCTTCGATGATTGTTCTCTTTTCGGGTCTATGTACTGATTGTGAGTCTGGACGTCAGGCTGCGATCCTTTACTGAGGAATAATCGTGATGAGCGAGCTTTGGATGTCGCAAAGGATGATGTGATCAGGGCGCTTCTTACTTGTAAGGATCATCCTCACTAGACTTTTCTTTTGGTCTGTGTTCAGTTCTGAAAGTTTGCAGGTGAGAGTTGTGTTTTAAACATCACATGATGAGAGTGTTTCTGAACTAGACCTAGTTGTGGTTCTCTTGTAAAGTCTGAGGATTTCAGCAGGCCAACACAAGATGCGAACATCCGAACCTTACTGATCATAGTGTCTCTAGGCTTCTTCATGAGTTGGTTTACAGAAATTATTTGTACACTATGAGATTACAAGACTGTTGAGATGCCATCAGTTAACCAGTTTATGTCCAAGTAAACTTCTCAATTTTAAGATTTTCGGAAGGTTCATTCGCAAACCTTGAAGCCTCCGCAGTAAAGTAGCCGGGAACTTGTGATGAAATTAAAATTTTCCTACTTGACATCTTTGGATTTGCAGCGAAACTTGAAGAATCTGAAGACATCGACTTCAGCTCACCATCCTCGTCGCCTCAGCCATCACCAGTGAAGGAGATCAAACGTCAGCCACTACCGTCCGTGGCAGGTCTTCAGCATCCGCCTACCCAGGCTGGAGAGAAAACTGACATAAACCTTGAAGAGGTGAAGCCTTCGAGTACGAGCTCTGTTCCTACTAATTCAGCTGCGTTTTCTTCTTACAGTAAGCATTCAGTACCCGGCCCTGGGCCTAAGAAGCTGAAAATCACTTTTAAGAAGAAATGATATTTTATGGGTCGATCAATCTAGTACATGATTGCCACAGTAGGTGATGTACATAGTTATGTCTGAAATCTGTAGAGGACGGATGATTCAATTTACCTTTTTAATTGATACTCCTTGGGAGTAAAGTTTACCTCTGAATTCGTTTACGTTTCATTAACGGGTATTCGTCAGCAAGCACAACATTTCAGCCATGTGGAATCTACTTACGACCTCTCTTTTTGTTTCCTGGTATTTTGTAAGATGAGGCACTCAAGGTTCATTTTTGTTATACCGTAGTTGCAGAATTTGTTCACCACATTGGTGAACAAATTCTGTGACTCTTAGTTTAGATTTTCTGATGTACACCCAATGATTCATGTATCGCTTCGTGATGACCTGATCAACGAAGCGATACATACGTCAATAAATCACCTGTTACCCTAAGGCTCAATGTAGACCACGTTTGACAGCGGCCGGATCTTCGGGAGTATGGACTGCATTGTGAAAGGTTTGAATCTCGCTGAAATTCCGCGAAACTGTAGGATGATAATTTTGATCAAGCATTCTTTGAGTTACTCCCCGGACACCTGACTAAGCTTTAGTGTCTGCAGGGTAGTCTTACTTCATACATAATAGAATATTGTAAAGGCCGGCCACCATGAATATCCAAGCCGGTAAAGGCGGAGCGCGTCCTCGAATGTTAATGTGCTACTTATGTGGTCGCGAGTTTGGAAGTAAAAGGTTTGTGCACTATGCATAATGTATACAGTAATAATCTCATTTCTAAGTGGCAACATGGAGGCTAGACCTTCAGTCTAGCAGAGGTATCGAATTTCACCGCTCCTCACCGCGAGGAGGTTCGCGGAGCGCCATGTTTGCGTTTTCTTCTTACATCTACGAACGGGCTCGTATGCCATCATTCAAAGGGTCTTTTTGTTTTGAAAATCTCCAGAGACGACACCGTTAGCTGATACTTTCAGCGCCTGTGTGCTTTGAAATGTGTTTTTTAATTTTTTCACCGATTGATGTTCATCGATCGTTGAGCTGTGTTACCTTTCAAAAGTGGGAGGAACTTGCTCCCAACGCATTCTACTGTATCCATGTTTTACAACGAGAACAGTAATTCTTATTAGCAAGTTCTAACTGAAAAAAATTGTACTAAAATCGCTGGAATAAGCACTCCCTTGTCTCACTGTATGTAACCTACTACGATGGACTTGCCCGATGAGACGTGCATATCGTACACTGCGTCTGGATAGCGATTATTAGGAGTCACGGCTAGCAAACTGAACACAATTTCCAGTGATGCACCTATAACCTCGTCATTGTGATGCTTTGAACGAATGGGAGACGCAGCTTGCCGATTCATTTACCGCAATGTCAAAAGAAGTGGATCGATGCGGAGTCACTGAAACCAGCAAGAGAGCAACGGCCAATGCCCGAACCACCTGCCGTTGAAGTTCCAATAAAACTTGGGGGCAAGCCCCAGGTCATTGACGACTTCAACGAAGCGTAAGTCTTATATGCACTCTCAACTGGCCGAGCTGTCGATGCAATAACTGACGATACTGCTGTTATGGTTGATCAAGTGTCCTTCCCGTTCGTGACGCACTCGAAGATTTCTGTGGAAAATGAAATTAACTGACGGAGTTGTATATTGCAGCGCGAATAAACAATTTCTAGCATCGCTAGAGCAGTGTCCTTACTGTAAGCGCAAGTTTGCACCTGAGCCATACAAGCATCATCAAAGAAGCTGCACCGCAAGCAACCCAGCAAAACCAGCTGGAACCGCACTTGTTTCAACATCATTGTCAAACAATAAGCGATTGCAACCTTACACAGTGATTTCTGGATCCAAGAAATCTTCCATATCAAGTGGGAATACCTACTTTGACCCTCTTGCTTTGCAGCATCGAAAGTGTCTGTTTAGGTGTACTCGAGCCATACAGAAAATTCTGTCACACCTTTGCTTCACTCACGCCACGAAGCACCACAAACAACGCCCAAGAATCAGAAACTAGAGAACTTTTAGGAACCGGACGTCTGCAGCCAGGCTTGATAATTTGAAATTCTGCTCCGACTGAAATTCACTGTGGAATAAACAAGGACTCTAATCATTAGGCTGGTGTTAGCTAGATACAGTTACCTTAAAAGAGTACGATTTGGTGTTGTAAACGTAGAGTTGGGCTTAAAGGTCTGATCTGCAGAGTTTCAAAGTTTCGATTTGGCTTGATCAGAGCCCGTCGTTGCTTCGAAGCCGCAAAGGCAGCCAGAGTTGAAGAAGATGATAGCAGAGGCTCGTTCACAAAAGGGCAACAACGCAGGGCCAGGTGGAGCAGGAGAAGGGACTTCTGCCTCTACTTCCAAAATCAAGACTAAGCCTGCGGCTGCTGGGGCCAGTGAGCCTGTGAGTGTAGCCTGAAATAAACCCTTGCATTGCTGGGATTGCTTTGCATCCCTGGATTGTGATTAATTAGTCTTCACTTTGTTCTGAAGCTAAATATCTGTACCTCATGACAAATAACTTCTAATTTTGAAATTTTTCTTAAATTTTGTGGTACACCATTCTACGTTTCATTCACTCTTATCCCTTTGTTCTACAGCCATTCAGTGTGTACGATGGCACACCGTTCACGCTCTGGTGTGTGCTGGTTGTCCAGCAACTTAGAACTGAGTTATTGTGCTATTAGACGACTTTTCGAAAAGGCTTGTGGGATTAGTTTACGCTGATGCTGACTAGTGTGATCTACCGTAATCCAGAAAAAGGGCCCATCAGAAGGAGGTGGATTTTGCGATGAGTGCGGAGCAACGTACGGTCGAGCCGAAGCTAAATTTTGTTCAAGTTGTGGAGCCAAAAGAAAATCATGAAATCAGATTTTACACTCCAAACATGCATCAAACAGAGTAGTCGGAGCTCGAGCCAGTCGATGTCAAGTAACATCCTCCTCGGCAATCAAGTCAGTTGAGCTATGATAACGCGACTCTTGAGTCCAATTCTGCTCCCAGCTTCGATGGCCAACTTCATCTGTCACAAAGGATCAAATAATACTTCTGACATGGACCCCATCGGTGAATAATTCGTCTAAGTCAACGTTTCGAGTAGAATTCCAGTCACAAACAAAATTGTGGGCAGGTTGTGTATCGCGTGCTCCTAAGTAATAGAGGTTAACAGAACAGAGAGTCAGTCCGGCGTTGTCCTACTGGTCGATTTACCTTTAATAGCAGGCATGACACAGAAATGTCATTTGTAATATTATTCTTACGTTCCTAAAAGGCAGGTTGACATCCTGAAGGTGTGAATCGAACCACATCATACAATTTCGATTCTACTCACTCTATTTCGCTACGGGTCCAACCCGGACGCTCCTTATTTATTTACAATGACACTCCATGGTATAGTCCTTTCATTAACACTTAACATGTACATAGTACGAGTTCTTGACCAATTCACCAAAACTGGGTTTGCTTTTAGCAGATTGCTTGCTTTTATGATTGACATTGGCACAGCAAAAAGTTGGATGGTGGAAAGGGCCGTCCTTACTTGCCATGCAGTACCTCTTGAGCTAAAGAATTTCTCTTAAAAATGTTATCATTTCCTTAAATAAAAACCTGACCTGCCCGGGAGACAGTAAATTAATAAATGCATTTATAATCGCCGAAACATATTCACTTTCAGATTTGAGCTTGTTGGAGAGGAGGTACCACTTGAAATTTCAAGAGGTTATGGAATAAGGTGTGAAGCAAATCTAGTTGCCTGCCAAACATGCAAAGCTGCAAGCCCAGAGCTCACCTTCAGTAGTGAGATGGAATGTTTGACTCTGCGTGCATTTTGTTTGGACATTTCAGTCTTCACTTAGCGATTCTGTAACGGGGATTCGACTAGCACAGTCAAACCTTATGGATGGACAAAATGATCCAAAACTTGGCCGAACTCAGTTGATTCAGCTTTGTGAATAATTTTCATGATTGTCAGCAGTAGATTCGGTTGACCGTGCCAACACAGACAGCAGGAGCTGAGTGAAGATGCATATGCATTGCTGAGCATGCCAGGCAACCAAAGAACGACACTACGTCCTCGTCGTTCTGGAAAAGCATTTGGGAAAGTCGCTGCTTCTTTCACCGAATCAGAGTACAGAACAAGACAGTCCACAATGCAATGCAGTTGGATTTCAGCCAGAATGGATTTTCGGAACGAGAAGGAAAAAAACATCCCTCGCTGGATTTGAATCTCCAAGAATTTTAAGACCGTATCAAACCAAGCTACAATCAAGTCAACAAACACCTTTCTCAGATACCATCACCTGTACACGGCTGCTATACCTGGATCTAGATCTAGCTATCTATTCTCACCATGCGCCCTCAATGCTCGAATCCTTGTCTAATTCCAACTTCCATGACTCTGAAATCTGAAATCTCTGAAGCGTCGATCCGCCGCTGATTAAGTCTCCTCTGTACCAGCTTCGGTTTCATTATTATCATCGTCTGCTGGCGCTTCACCCTCACCCCCAGCCTCAGCCTCTCCCTCTTGGGCACCTTCAGCTGCGGCGGCAGTCTCTTCAGATGGGGCAGCAGCATTGGGATCTGCTGGTGGTGGTGGTGGTGCTGCTGCTGATGCAGCTGGAGGAGGATCTGGGTGCCGAGGAGGCGGAGGATTGTCAGAGAAGGAGACGAGCATGCAGTTGCGGGTGGTGTGGTGTTGGCTCCTCAAATGGACTTCATCATCATCGATGTAGATTTCGTCATACGGGACAGAGAGAAAGAGTTCTCTTCCTTTCATCTCCTTGACCTTGAATCCTTTGAGGTTTTTGATCTTGTTCTTCTCGATTATGCCACTGAGCGTCGGTGCGTACATGATCACAATCTCTGCGTGGGCGAACTCCTTGGACGATTTCGTCTTCTGCTTCATCCAGAAAATCCCTGACTGATTGTTGAATCCGAACTCCTCGATCGTGGCTAGAGGGAAAAGAGCTGGCGGGATCCTGCTCTGCGTGAAAACTGCACTGGCTTTTACTTTTGCTTCTATTCCTTGAACGACATTGGCTCCCTGTTCATTGATGGAGCCCTTCCGGAACGACTGCCTACCTTCTGACATAGCGCACTCGACTGAACTCCTGGAATCTGATTGAATGATTGATTTGAATGAATCTGCTTTGACTACCGATTTCTCAATCAGGTGGAAGTCTGTCCAAATGGACCACGCCAACGAAGCTCCAAGTGAGAAGCAAATCGAGCACGTCGTCCTTTAGCAATCAAAAGCTTCGATGCTCCTTGCTTTTCCGCGAAAACTGCATTATCAGGGCTTCGATTCAGACTCACTGCATTTGTGTGGAGACTTGGATAGACTTTGATTTCTTAGGACATTTTGATCCACGTTGTACAATATCCTACCAGTTTCGAATGCGGCTCTGAAGCAGGAGCAACAGGTTTCATGAGTAGAGCAATTTTGAGATTTTCGAAGATCCTAACGACGCAGGTGACAGACACCAGCAGAGCTCCATCAATCAGCGACCGAATGACTGCTCTCATTTCTCCAGGCATATCGACAATCAGCAAGCTCTTCGTGAGCTACTGGAGCTCCGAGTAGCTTTTGACTCTAGCAAGTACTCGTTTGATTCGCTGCTGCGAGCAATCTGGAAGTGAGGAAATGGCCAATTCTTAATATTTTCGTAGCCACTTGATGATCAAAGGGGTCGACTCCAATCCGTAGAAATGTGGATCCAGCTTTGAATCCTCTAAGGAGATTGGAGGTAAAATTGGGATCTTCTCAATCATCTGTAGCACGGATGCTGGACGAGAAGCACCGGACTTTTAATCCCGGGCCTTCTCATGCTCTCGCTCACTGAGGTAGATGCCTCGCTATCGCAATCAGCTGAGCGCATTTTTTCGACCGGTTTCCTACCGACCGATGGCGACCTTCGCGTGCACACTTTCGTCCCACTATTCCGAACCGTGGCCGGTTTGTTCAAAAATCGGTTTAGACATGAGGTGCAAATCGCTAGCAGCATGAACATGGCGCGATTGAGAACCCAGAGATGTGATCACATAGTTGCAGGCCATGGGAAATCAAACTGACGGATCGAAAGACTTGTAAATTTTGATAATTAATGGCGATTCTCTAGAACTGAAGTCTAGTGCAGCTGTTACTCTATTCGCTCCATAAATTTCCGACACTCATGCTCAAATGGTCTCGGATTCGTTTACAGGGACGTACCGGGATCGCGTGCATCGATTCTTCTCACTCAGACGATTGTCGATCGGCCATATTTCAAAAATCGCTTCTCACGAGAGCTTTGCGATATTTGGCCCTCGCCATGACAAATGAAAGCCTGCAACCAGTGCTCTCTCGTCAATCATTCAATGTGCACCTCCAAAAGGCAATTCTAGGACTCGGACAAGTTCTAAAACCTCGAGAATGCCATTCCCGTCGTTATGGCGGCCCAGACCCTTCATCGTAGCTTCATCATTCAGCGCTAGCTCCGTGCTGCAATTGATTTGTGGCTCGACTCAGTCTCTTTCTCAAATTATGGATACTGTCTGAGAATCTGGATCCTCGAGAGGTTTGGATCCTGGTTGCTGATCGATTCGAGGAAAGAAGGACCGAGATCAGAATCATGAGATTTCTCGAACACTCACCGTGGGGGAAACGAAGCCGGAGACGGACGAGATGCAGCATCGGGCAGGAAAATGCGGTCGGGGGAAGCTGCTCTCGGCCTCGTGTCGAACCGTTCGTTCGGAGGTGGTGGGCGATTGGCCGGACCTCCCTTCGTACCCTCTCGAGCCGTCGGTTCCCGACCATTGACGTTCCCGCTGAACCTGTAGCTGCGAGCCGCATCAATTTGCAAGTCAAACGATTCAGGCAGCAGCCGATCTGAGTATGACCCTCAATCACACTGATCACCTCAATCACTCACTTCCCAGGACCAGATTCCTGACAGACAATCTGATGCAATTCCCTCGAAAGCTGTGATACATTCTGCACGAAGCAATCTAATCGTGACGATTCGATCGATGCCTCGACACCGGCAGTACAATTTTGTGTATTCTTATCGGAAGTTCGTCTTTCAATTGCACTCGGTGCTTGCGTCCATATGCTTCTGATTCAAATCAACGTCGAGTCTGTAGACATTTAAATTTGTGGTGACGTACAGAGCTTGTAAATCGTGCATCGCGTTTTCAGTCATCGAAAGCTTCTGTGGTATAGGCAAATTTGATCATGATCGGTTGCCCGTGATATCAGGACGACATTGTAATTTTCAGCTTCTATGGAAATAATGGGTCCCCGATTGGAATGAACTGGAGACGCAACGAAAAGCCGTGCTTTGAATGTACATGGAAGTTCCATTCGCATGACTTCCACATAAACTTCGCATTCGATCGCCACCTCCTTCGTCGAATTCCAGGACAGTGCAGTTGTGTACTGAACCCAGACAGCCCCCAGCCTCAGCCGTGCACGATGCTCGTGCAGCTTGATCGTCTTGTCAACAACAGTCCATAGCAAAGTTGGAATTTAGAAAGGAAGACAGTAATTTAACTGTGAAACGGATGGGACGACCCCACACGTATTACAATGATGAAGCCAGACGGGAATGGTGGGGCTAGGTAGTAGTGACGGTGGTGCAGATGGAGGAAATGTGATGGCTTTGCAAATTCCAGAGTCATCGCCTCCCAATCTCAGTCCTCTTCATCTGAATTGATTCTAGCATTATCAGGTTTCCTGAAATCCAGTTACGATACGGCTTTTGTTTTGCACACGGGGAAGTATACACCAAAGCTCAAGTCCCAAATAATGAACCCAGTTGAATTGTTTTGGTCACAATTTTGAGACATCCAAGTCTCGAGAATAGAAAATGCAAACTAGAATCAAACTTCTTACAGGATAACTGCAAATTTTTCAGAGTAACCTTATGCTTGACACAAAAAGATTCAACATGATAAGATTTAAGAAGAAAATAATTGAGCAGAATTTCATCACAATTTTTTGCTCGTTGTCTAAAATATTGGACTGTAAATTTCCAACACTGCATACCTGGTGTGTTGCTTAAACCAACTACATATAATATAAGAGAAGGAGTTATGCCTCCCTCGTTGTAGTACCATTAAACTGAATTTAACACAACTGCATTTTTTATGTAAACATATAGTCTCAACGATGATGGGTCTTCCCTCTTTCTCGATTCTTGCAACTTCTCATAAAAAATTTTGAGCAATATGTGCATATATCATTATATGGAATCGGTTGGTGATGCGATGGCAGATAGTATGACAACATATCGAACACTGTCACATGGGTGCACTATGAGGTCAAGAATCGGGAAAAAATTGAATTGGAATGATGGCCTGGAAACTGTAACCATTTTATTTTTTGGTATCCTTGTTCGTGCATATCTAGTCTGTAACGGAGATGTGAAGTGTAACGTTGTTAACTTCGCAATTCTTCAAGAGCAAGTTGAACGTGCCGGACAGAGAGGTATGTACACTTCGAGCTGACTTGAAACAACACTTGTGCTCTTCGAGAGAAAGCAGAACTGTAGCTCGCAGAGAACGAAGAGTTTCCACATAAACCCATAATTGTAGCGAACGACCCGAGCAGAACCCAGATACATGAACTCCCGAGTTCGGTGTGAGAAGCATACCTTTCTCGGCCTTTTGGCTAAGATCAAGTGTAGTATCTGTTCTTATCAGTTTAATATCTGATACGAGGGTCATCGACCCTCACGATATTAATCTTATTTCTTTCACGGGTGCGAGTCCAATGGAGTAGCTTGCTGCTTCGGACTTGCCAGTGTCGCCTTGGTATTGCACTACCTCCTTGGCCGGCGCAGCCCTCCTCCCCTTCACGGGGAACCAATGAATACAATTAGGATCTGCACAGCTCGACCTTAACAACGAAGCAACAAATCAGCCTGAATCACAAACCTCAATACATAGCGACAGCTACAGACTTAATGCGATGTGACTGAAATTTCAGTAATATTGAAATTGTTTGTGACTTGAATGAAGTGTGACTTGAATATGTCTACGTTTCGAGTGCAAATCTGCTGGGTCCTCTAAGTGCATTAGAGGAGACAGATCGGGGCTGTCCACAAACGATAGCTCGTCCCGGTGTGTGGTGTGTCACGCCCATCAACGCTTTGTTTATGTGACCTACATACAGATCGAACCCTTCGACTTTCGAGCTGCTGTCCGAGCGATAATCGACGACCGAAGTTCTCTACGAACAGTGCTCCTCTAATCTTTTCTACTTCTCGAATATTCCGCTTCGTAGGCCCAACTCTGCGACGTTCGTCCAGTGAATCATGCATCGAATATCAAAAGTAAGATCTGTCTTTCGTCTGGCTACATGGATTGTCTCTGCGGATCCTGGTCAGTGGCTCCTCTGCTTTGAGCACTCATCGAGCTTCATTTGTGTCAGTCGTGGAGATTTACTTCTTCACCGTGAGTCGTCTGTCTGTCGAGAGAAAGTGAAGAAGGTGAGCGTAACGTAAGGGTGGAATCAACTGCGGCTCCATTACGTCCTTGAGACGGGACATCATGGCTGAAACCACAGGCAAAGGAGGATAGCGGGGGAGAATGGGAACTTCAGTAATTTAAAACAATCGATAAAGCAATGACGATGAGATACACACTGGCAATCGAGAATTCTCGGCCTTTTGTCTGAACCAAATGGAGTATCAGATGACGTCTACCATGATGTTACTAATAGTTATTTCGATGGAGGGCGCGGGTTTGAAGTCATATTTGCAGCAACGGACTCTGAGGTGTCGCCTCTGTATTGCACTGACGCCTTGGTCCGCCTACTGAACAGAACTGTAATCTAAGTGTGAGTTTTAAGACTTTAAACCCTAAACCCTTTGCCATCCGGGTCTAGAGGAGAACACGGTGTACCGGAGCCAGTGCTTGTGGTAGAGCGGGATATTAAACTTGAACGGAAATACACAACCAGGCGGAGAAAGAAAATCTCTATTTAAGGCTTTCCCCATTCCAATTCTAGAGTGATGATTTTTCAGTTTTAAGACTTCATGCAGGTCCTGCAAATTTACTGTGCACATTCAAGTCGATCGGCGTAGACAAAACTGGGCTGAAAATAATTTTCTCTTTGAATGTATAGTAAGTCGATCATCAAAGTGATGAGAGGTATCATTATTCACATCGATGAAGAAAGCTCCATGCTATCGCCACAAAATGAAAATCCCCGTCCTCTATCTAAGATACCTCGCTTCTCGCACGGTGGACTTCGACCCTTCCGGGAAAAATTGACTAATATACAAGTCGTGCTACAGACTGATCATCTTATGTCACAGAAGAGCACGGACATTGACCTGATGGTAATACCTTATCCTCACAACTGATAAAGCCTCGAGGATAAATTGACAACAGCTAGTACCAAAAAACCAGCACTTCTACTGAGGACTGCATCCCTTGATTTCAGGGTGTAGGCAGAATGGAGAGATAATCGATGAGGTCTCGATAGTCCTGTCTCGGAACCGTCCTGACTGTTACAGTAACCAGGTTTCATGTGCATCCACCAGGGTCAGCAGACGCTCCGTGTCTCCTCTCCTTCTTAACACGAACCTCCTTGGGATCAAAGCCTCCTTCCTCAGCTCCATAAACAGCCCAGCTGGGGGTTTGCATCATGTAGTCTTCGCTGCTGAATGGCTCTCCGGATGCCACCTGATTTTACAAACCTGTCAAGTCAGCTCTCCGATATACAAAGTAATGTCCAAAAAAACGGACGAAGTTACTCTGGCCTAATCTCGGACAATCAAGAAGAAAGCAGAACAGATACAAGCATTTCCGTGCTTCTCAAAAGACAACTACTGGTGCATTTAGTGAAGGTAGTGTACCAGATCATGAAACTTCTCGTAATCGATCCACGTATACCAGTTTCCGTCCTTCTTGAACTTCGAGACCTTCGCCAAAAGCACGCAACATGAATGAACATGCTCACAAGAAAGCTCATATTCACCATTCGTTGCTGCTACCATGGCCTCAGCAAAGTCCTTGACATCTTGGTGCCAAGGTACATTCTCCATGGTCAGCGATGACGTTGCGGTGCTGTCAACATCATCAAGTATTAGTCAGAAGATATGTAGAAAGCATGCAGTCTGTCATCTGCCAGTGAGCGCATGCTTGTTTCAACTTCACATTCGCGTTGAATACTGGGTGCAGGAAAGATGGAACTTACGAGCCACAATAAGTCACACCCTTGATTTCAATGAAGTCAGGTTGTCCCAGCTGTAAAAGCTGAACGTATGCATCAAGCTCGGCAACATTCCAGCCTTTCACCAATGTCAAACGATACACAGTTCTCTGGCGTTTATCTCGTAGAGCAGTAAGAGAATCCTGGATAAGAAGATGGCAGTGGCAGTTAGTCTACCCATTAAATAATCATTGAAGTAAACTTCTATATTCCACAGCATATTAGGGGTCAACCAAAGTGGACTTCCGAACATGATATTTACGAGGCTAAATACAGCATGCTTAGTTGATTCCTTCCTGCAAGTTTGAGCTTGAGTGCCGACCAAAAATGTCGGCACTCAAGCTCAGAAAGCCACAAACATGCCACAACACATTGCCTGCACATTAGGTGATGAAAAAAGAGCTCCTAACCGTAAAGCGCTCCCAGAAGTCACTGAAGAGAGGTCTGTCGATAGCCTTCAGTTTCTCTTTCGTGGCAGCATCCACACTAACGTAGAGCTGTATTGATCACAAGAAAAGAGCAAGCCCCAACGTAAGAGCAAACTCGTTGATTCCAATAAATTATTGCGACCAAACGTTGACAGTAAGTGATTGCTGCAAACTAGCTCTAAACAGCCATCGGTATATCTCACCTGGGTGACAGGGCTGAGTTGTGTAATGCGGTCGGGAAACTGAGCGTTTGTTACTAAGAAGCTGGATATACGTCGTTTGTGCAACTCGTCCACAAGTGTATTAATTTCGGGGTACATGATGGGTTCCCCGACAAGTGACAAGGCACAATGTCTTGGAGTCATTCCCTCTAGCAAACGCTCTGGCTTCACTCCTGTAAAAGGAAACTTCCTAACTCAGTAATAGCTACGAAACAGAAGAAACGCAAGAACCAACCGATGTCAAGGTACGTGCTCATTGAAGGTGGGCAATGGCAAGGACGCTCAGGGTTCTCATGTGAGGGAAAAACTGGACAAAAGTTGGCGGGGAGAACACCGCAGCCACGTACCTGGAACACCTTTCATTTGCTTAATCATACTTGTATGTTGATCCAGGGCAGCATTGACAATTTCAACAGGGTCATCCATTTTCCAGCGCCAGCTCTTTCCGACTGGATTCGTGTGATGCCTCCAGCAGAATACACACTTATTCGCACAGGCCAGACTCGGAGTTGTCTCCATGCAGCTGAACAACGGTAAAGAATACATGACTACAAGATTCAGGGAAAGTAATACAAGAAAGGAAGAACGCTTCGACACAGGTTATCAACATCTGATCGGCAACCGATTACTATTACATAAAATATGAAGAATCAATCACACGGTATTTTCTAAGTTTGCAAACTGCTTCCTGTTGGACGAGATAAATTAGCAACATACACACAGCGGCCATTCAACGCTTGGCCATGCCATAAAACTGGTTCGCACCCTGTTCGAAAACACGTGAAACGTACTCACCGGTGACTCTCGATACCGTAAAATGAATGCTTGTAGCATCCTCCACGACCCCGCAGCTGTGATTTCGTCCAACGACACAACTTGACGCCACTGTGCGAACCTAAGATTTTGTATCCCTGTTCGTTGGGAGATATCAGTCAAACGAAGTTTCACTTGCCACGTTCACAATTCTATGAGCATCGAAAATCGCACATCTTGAATGTTACGGTCCTCAGAGAAGTGATTTATAACAGACCCAAAACTGGGTAAACGCGTAAAGTGGACACACATCGGGATCACGAAGAATGTACGGGTATGAAACAGACACACAATGGCTCCAAAACGTACCTGCTTCTCTAAGCTAGCTCTAAGTACTGGAGTGACCATCTCTTTTCTGTCGTCGCCATTCGGGGTTTGAAAATACTTTTCAACCTTTTTCGCTTGGCCTCCCTGCACATTCTTCTTCCCTTTCCTCACGAAACCCTTCTTCTTGGGGTCCTTTGTTTTCACAGTTGATCCTAGTGCTCCCGCCATATCCTCCAAGTCCACTAACGTATCCGTGTTCTCCTTGTCTTCTTCGTCAGTATCAGTGTAATAAATTTCTTCTACCATTTCCTCCATTAATGTTTCATTTTCCTTACTAACGGGAACATTCTCGGTAGAGGATTCTAACACAGAACCTGCACCTGTTCCTCGGATGTGATCCACTAGACTCTGGGACCACGTCTCGAACTGCTCCTCTACATCACCTAAGTCATCGTCCCCCACTCCACTGGCAAGTATCAGGTGTGCACCTAGTGCAGTAAGGTGGCTTTCAAAAGCCTTTGCAACCACATTGAAATTCTCTCCATAAACGCTGCTTCCCACTCCAAAAATTGCGACTTTGCAATTCTGTAGCAGCCCAGAGCCCACTCTAAAGTCTTCAGAGCTCTCATCCAACCACTGCAAGAGATAAGAGCCGTTCTTCGGAGCCTTCCCCTCGCTCCAAGTGCTCGCAACAATGATGACCAAGCTTTCTTTGGCCAAATCCTCGGGCTCGTACGAGCGTGCGTCCACTACTTTCACTGCCACTCCCCGACCTAACAACTGGTTACCGAGATTCTCTGCCAATTTCTGCGATGTGCCAGTTTCTGAGACAAACAAAAGTTTACCACAAACCTCCGCTGAGCTCTCATTACTCGTGGTGTGACTGGCACACCCATTACCACATTCTGTATTTCCAGTCGCCCCAGGTGTTTCCTCATCAGCTGCAGGGTACAAAAATGCAACATCGTCGTCGATAAAATTCCCTTGAGTGTCACCTGCCAATCCATTCTGCTCTTTAGAACCACAAGAGCTTGCTGTACCTTTGGCTTTGCAGCACCCACTACCATTACTGCGCTTCTCTGAATCACGGCTGGTTTTACAGCACCCACCAACCTTACTGCTCTGTTCTTTCGAGTCCAGACCAATTCCTTCCGGCTCCTCTAAATCTCCATCATCATCATCATCTTCATCATCCTCATCCTCATCCTCGCCCTCCTCGTCCTCAGCTTCCTCCAGATCTTCCTCCTCGGTCTGCGGTCTCCTCTCCTTGTTCAGCAGATTCTTCAGCTCTCTATCAGCTTCGGCTCGGGTCTTCTTATTCCTCATATAAATGAACACAGAGACGGAGACTACGAGCACCGATGCACATGACGCTACCACCAGAACTGTGCTCTGCCGAGACATTTTCCCAAGCTGCAGGAACTGGCAGCGGTGAAATCCCAAACTCCGGTCCAATTCACAAGATCCCGGAGCAACACGAGCTGGATCCTTCAGTTCGATACGCTGGCTCAGGTCTTGGTGACAAGCTTCCCATTCAGCCCAGGAGCAGAGAACAGAGAAAATGCTGACACAGGCAAGCACTGGCAAGCACTAGGGTTAGGGTTCATGATCTTCCACAAACAACCACAAATGCTCGGATCACGACTCTTGCTCCTCGAATGGTCCCATGAGATCAGCTCGAAAAATTCGACAGTTCGAGATCCTGCCCACGAATCGAAACCTCGTCGGGCGCTATGTTCCCAGAGGCAGGACACAGATTCCCATGCACTTCATGCACGTCCATGCCGATCCTCCTCTGCCTCCGAGAATCTGTCGTCGCGAATCGTTTCGAGCTGGGTCCCGGAATCACGAGGCTCTGGCTCAGTTCGGACTTGTTCCTTGGTCCCCCTCTCCTTCCCACGCCTCACACTCGGATCCTCGTTTCCTCCATTCCTTCTCATTCTGGCCGTTTAATGTGACTTTCCATTTATCGAACCCAAAGCTCAAATTTTCTTCCTGTCCTTTGCCAAAGCAAGGAGCAGCCACACCTGCCATTTGATAATTACTAGATCCCATATATACACTCGGTACATGGCCTCTCTCCCAACATATGAGACGCTCCTTAATATATTCTCCTTCTAATATCAAAGTTTATAAAAATCATAATTAAATGAACAAGTTTGTGGCAGAGTCCAAGAAGAAACCAAATCAAAAGGATCGAAAAGGTCTAATAACTCTGTCCTCGAAAGTGCCTCCGTCCCAACATATGAGACTCTCCTTAATTTTTTCTTATTCGATTATCAAAGTTTAGAAAAAAAAATAAAAAAATTTTAAGTGAACAACTTTTTGGCAGAGTCCAAGAAGAAAGCAAACCAAAAGGATCGGAGAGATCTAATAACTCTGTGCTCGTAAGTGCCAGACTCTCCAGATGCATGTGTTAATGTAACCTTGTGGAAGTCATCGTCACGGGTGGTAATGAGCCTTGAACAATGATGTCATCGTTCGAAAATGTTAGAATACAGTAAGACTATGGATATATACGTTGACTGAGGTCCAACTGCCGTGAAAAAGCTGGTTACACGTTTCTCTTTCTAGCGCTCTATGGAGCCGATGCCAGTGGTTGAATATATGCTGTGCTGAAATTTGCGGGTCTCTCCGGGAGCAAGGCTAGCCTTTGCAGCATGCATCGATGTCAGTGACAGCAAAATCTCACGTTGGGTTGATGATAGCATAGCAGCTACGATTACAATTGCGTCTACTTATTGTTGATGCTTGGACCACATGTAAACAAAGTCTTTTATTACGATTTTGCATGGTGACATTACTTTGTCTGTACCATATCCTCTACATCCATCTCGGCTCACCAATAATTTTACCAGAAACATAAGCTAATCATTGTACCAATCACGTCATTTGTCTCGTTGTTGGCGACCAGAAAGCAACCTAGGTATAGTTCAGATGATGCTATGCAGTCTGTATGATGCTTTCTAGAAGAATGCAACACTTTTTGGATTTGATACACTATCTATGATGTGAAGTTGTTACTCGTGTAAGATATCATTTCTTCAATCTTCAATTGTCTTGCTCACAATTTAAGTATGAGAATGAATTTATAATATAGCAATCATGAGGAAACTTTCTAATCATACTTTGGTCACACGAAAAAGTGTCCAATTGACAAAACATCAAAGTACGATGTTACTGTGCTTTTTTTCAAATCACAATAAAAAAAAAACTAGTATATATCGTCATGATGAGATCATATATAGTAAAATTATATGATAATTTTACTTACATATGATCTCATCATGACAGCTACAGCTGTTTCACTAGATAATTCATCATTTTAAGATTTAGTCTTCAAAATTTTTCTTACAAAAAAGTGTAGATTTTCATCAAATAAATAATGATATATAAATGATGATATTTTATACAGAAAATTTATACTTATACTTCAAAAAGATATATGAAAAATGAATTCTGAAGATAATTTGATGAAATATGTATTATCATATTCTCATGAATTCTTATTGTTATACATAATGTTGTTTCACAAAATCTTCTCAGCTATGTGTAATCTTTTGGAATTGGCTACCCTTCAGATGCATCCGTAATTCTTTTACCCTACACCCTTCCCTTGAAAAATATTCATAGATTTGTTAGTCTTACCAATATTATATATTCTAATGTAAAATATTTGTATCCAAATTTTATCCAATCCAATACATTTTTGGAACCAATTTTATAGAAAATAGAAAATCGTAAATTCAATATGAAGATATGGTTATCATATTACTTGTCTGCAATCAATTAGGTATTTTTGATTTTTTTTGACTAATTCGCATTTATTTCAAAATTTCTCCATTTTTTTTATGATGCCAAAAATTAAGTATTCAGTCCAAAAATGAAGAATTCTTCAGTCATAAAATAAAAATAATAATTTTTGGATGACTTTTTTTGTCATAGATCAAATTGAAATGTTTTTAAATAAAATTTTCATTTACGTTTGGAACAAATATTTTGAAATATTTATAAATAAATGAGTAATTTTTATCATATTGCAGTTGACACTAAATAATCTTTAATTTTTTTATTTTAGGATTTCATGTTTGATCATAAATTTGAATAAAAATTTGTAACTCAAAATACAAAAATAATTCAACATTACATCTATAATGTAAGATGGAAATTTAATTTTCCAATTAGATGTATTTAGTAAAATAGTTCATCCAGAATATTATTCTAAATCACGTTGTTACAAAAGTCCTATTTTTGCATATAAATACACAGATGCTGTTACTACTCAGATTATATTAACACATGTTTTGATGATAGTTAGTTTTCAAGATAAACATATTTATATGAAATAGTATCACTATTTTGAATAAAAAATATTTTTGGATTTGATATTCTTTGAATATTTTTTATAAGATGCACATGTAAATTTATTAAATTTAGTTTTCTTTGCATATATACACATAATTTCCAAATCTGATAATCTATTACAAAAACGTGGTTTATTTCAATTAGGAATTAATTAATGATCCCAAAACTGATATTGTGTAATAAAAGCAAGTAAAGAGTTGAATTTTACTTATTAACCTCAAGTGTTGAATGACTATACTGTATACATGAAATTCTTGCTTATTTCCAAAAAATGGAGGATTGTGTAGTTAACACGTAAAAATGAAAGTTATTTGAACAATGTATATTGCATAACATCCATTCAGTTTGAGAAAGGTGTATCAATTATGAATACACTCACTTAGTCGTCTTGTGAATTTTCGTATGAAAAAGTGAAGAGTTCAAATCAACGTATCCGTCTTGTGCAACATAAGAAAAGGTTAGGACACCAAGACAGTATATTTTCACCATCTTTATTGCTCTCGAGTTTTGCTCAATGGAGTGAATAGGTCGCAGACATAAATCAGGATGGAAAAATAAGGCCCTCTGAAGAGAATCGGGAATTAATCCAAAGGATGAAACGGAACGAACTCCACAGAAATGCTGGAGTCAAAACGAACGATGGGTCAGCAGCTGTCTAGCACGCGTGTTAAGCATCGGTCAAGGGTAACTTGACCGGAGTCAGCCGGACGGCCCGAGCGCAATAGCCCGACTGCCCGTGCTGCCCCGCCCTGCCCTACAGCAGAAGTGGGGCAACGAGGATGAAAGGGAAGCGAGCAAAGTGCGATCGCTGCTGTTTTCTCCTTCTGGGCACTCGGTCCCCTCCAATCCCTCGACCTCGTCGGCTCTGCCCATCCGATCCCTCCGCTCGGCCAGCTTTTCAAATTCTCCTTCTTCGATCGCGGGGGGTCGCTTTCTCTGCCGTCTCAAACATGCGAATTTGAGGGAAGCAGGCGAGGAAACAGGTGGAAGAATTCTGAGACAGACTAGGGAGGGAGTATGGTGGGTGTTGCAGAGGAAGCGGAGCTGGATCGGCTCGAGAAGCAGGTCGATGGAGGCAGGAAAGAGGACACGGCTCAGTATTTGAGCTTGGTGAGAAAATTGAAGGTTCGGCGGTCCGAGAAGGTGGCCCTGCATGGTCTCGCTTTGCTCAATAGCCCTTCTGCGGCGTCGAAGCTGGGAGATGATGGTGGGCAACCTGAGCACCTGTCTTTGCAGCAGATCGATTTGCTTCGGACTGTTTTTTTTCCCATTTCTCTTTTCTTCCGGCTGCACTGAAATCTCGTGGTTTTGGACGAAAATCGCACAAATAGGGGGGTTTGAAAATCTTCAATTTTCTAAGTTCATAAACCTAATTCTGCTGAAATTTTCGGTGACAATTTTCATTTCCCTAAGTAATATTAACGAATGATTCACCGACGTGAACGCCCTTCGGATTCAATGGGGATGGGAGGTTGTGCTCTTTCAGTCTGGTCGGAACTGAAATTATATTGTTCTCCTTGTACAGTCTGGACGGTATATGAGCAAGTGGCGATTGCTGCAATGGACTGCAACTGCTTGGACGTGGCCAAGGTAAAGATACCGAATCTGCACGTGAGACTGTCGAGGTCAACCTCGTGAAGTTATTGCGAGTGATGGTGGAGTTCAAAGTTTTGACTTGTCAATTTCTGGTTTCGATGATGTTGCTGTGTTTGCTAACACACCGAGCTAATCGCACTTGCAGGAATGCATCACGGCACTTATGAAGAAATTTCCCGATAGTAATCGAGTCGGTGAGTTTCCCCTTTTCCACCTTCTGGGATGATTACAAAGTTGGACCTAGCAGCCAACGAAGGGGGAAGTGCATTGCTTCCGATGAAAAACGTTGAAATCGAGAGTTGCTTAACCTCAACACACTGCCATTTTCAGGTCGTCTAGAGGGCATGTGGATGGAAGCTAAGGGCTACTGGCAACAAGCTGAAAAAGTTTATGAGAGCCTTCTTGAAGTCAACGCAACAGATCCAGTGAGTCTCATATTGTCTCGACCCTGATTGCTGATGCGACCCCCACCTGACTTCAAAATGTGCGATCATGGCTAACCAGCTGCTTTATCCGTTCTCAGTTTCTACATAAGAGGAAAGTGGCAATGGCTAAAGCTCAAGGGAACTTCTCGGGAGCAGTGGAGGCGTTGAACAAGTACCTTGAGACGTATGTTTTCTGAAGGTCTCAAGGCTACCGTCTGTCTGCTGTACATGACCTTCTGGCTTATCGGCTGATTATATCTTCGTGACTTAAATCCACGTCATATTTCTTATCACTGGAATCAGTTCCAAGTTCTGCTTTAGTAAAAAATTAATTCCAATGCTAGATTTGAACCACTGGTCCTGATCAGTCCGAAGAATGTGAACTCGTGGGTTCTCCTGGTTCTGTCTCGAACAACTACCTGATACAATCTTCGTGCCCCAGGTTCATGGCAGATCACGACGCATGGAGGGAACTAGCCGAGCTCTACATTTCTCTTCTCATGTATGAATCATTTCTGGGTTTTATTTTTTTGGGGTTAATGTATTTCAATTATATATTTTCGGTTGACTCATTGTGAACCAAATAGCATTGAGGTTCTACCCCTCTGCTCGATGCTCAGTTTAGCAGGACTTGATTCCAATTCGATAACGGAGGTTAGGTTGTAAAGTCCTCTGTGCTGGACTTCATTTTCTGACGTCTTCTATGTGTGGCGCTTCCAGGTATAAACAAGCCGCCTTCTGCTACGAGGAACTCATACTAGCGCAACCAACCAATGCGTTGTACCATCTTGGCTATGCTGAGGTGATGTACTCACCTTGACTTCAACACTCGTGTTTTGAGAACGTATTCGGTGACAAGGGCTTCCACTGTATTAAATTTATGTCCCATTGTCAAGAGCAACGTACTCAGTCGAACTCTGGAACAACTAATTTGATCAATGAACCTCAACCGATAACATAGTCTGTTTAAACCATGTCAAAAATCTACTTTTGTCACAAGTAGAAGCCACCAATATTGAATACATAACAGTTCTCCCGTGTTCTATCCATATCTCCCACTGTCAATAGTGAGTACTAAACAGATTTTACCAACGTGTCAGTGGCAAGTCTCTACCGGTAATTTTAAAGGCCGAGGTTTTTTGGACAAAGTTGTCACTTTGTTCACACCATATTTGTAGATTTCATTTGTAGCTGTGCGTCCTGATAAATTATTCACCGTGATGTCCAGTTGTTGTACACCATTGGCGGCTTGGAAAACCTTCGCGCTGCCAAAAAGTATTATTCTGCAACTATCGAGCTTAGCGGAGGAAGGAACATACGAGCACTCTACGGCGTAGTCCTGGTATGAAGTCTCGTAACTTGCGGGCCCCAATACATCCAGCTCGTGATTTGTGGAACGAGCTGATGTTGCTGAAGCCTGAATTGCGTTTTTTCGGTGCAGAAAGTCTTGCTTTTCAATTTGCCATTTCAAATCCATGTCGGGTGTCTGATTGAGAGCCTGAAGTGGAACTTCGTGTGCGGAAATCGTAAAGTCGGCCAGAGGACCTGTAAAGCCAAAGAAGCACGTAGTGCCTGGAAAGGCACCCTTCTTCTCTTAGGGTTCGGGCGGGTCCTTTGCGAAGCGAATAAAAGCTCTGCTTTTTTGTTCTGGCCTGATACAGGCATGATTCGAATAGCCTCAATGTGCCGCTCGCTCAATGTACTAGGCAGCACAATGTTTTTCAGACGTCCTTTGCAGCTGCTCATATACCTGTGCCTGCAACATGGCAACGAGATCTGACCTCACTCGACACGCGTGCGTTGTTCAGTGTGGTGCAGCCATAAATCAGCTGTTGAAGCAGACCCGAAGTCGAAACGAGGAGGAGAGTATGGAGATAGTGTCTTTAGCAAGTACAGTTTTGAAGATGGAGTATAAAAGCAAGGCGCCGAAGAAACTGCCACTTCTCGCTCCTCTTCTCGAGAAGGCAGCATCTGCATCCTGAGCGAGCACGCTAATCAAACCATCGGCATCAATAGTCACCGAGTGCCCTGCGAATGCCATGCTGAGAAGGAATGTGAAGAACCGTATTGCCCTTCACTGCGACACGATCTCTTGAGGAGTGAAGATTGTTCGAATACGTTCAATCTCTTCGTACACCTCGTTCTCAAAATATCCCTCCCTTCGCGTGTTGACTTTTTGTGGTGAGGCGAGGGCGAGGCAAGAAGGGCAGAAGCTCTAGTGTATGGATGTCATTCTTGAAAGCCAGTAGGTACAAAGCAAGTAGAAGCTTTGTGGGGTAGTTTTGTACAGATTGTTATTGATCTGCGAAAGCAGGGAACTTGACAAAGCTTTGAGGAAGTTTTGACCATCAAGAGCAGCAGCAGCAGCTCGGAGTGCAGGTTTGGTTCTAAGGCATCTGTTCAAGATATTGAGAGGCAGGCATCGTTGCCCGATTAATGTGCATGCTTTGTCAAAGTCCACATAATAAAATACTTTGAAGAGCTTTGTGGAAAGCCTTCGTTTTCCTTTCCAACTTCTGGTTGAATTTTCCTGATGGTTGATGTTCCATTTGCCTCATCTCTATCGTACCTGAGGACACATTGTCGCACTGTCGAAGCTTTTATGGTGCACTCGGGCGTGTACTCTTTGTCTTTTCAAAGTCTTCCATTCCCAGTTTACTATCCGCAGCATTCACAACATAGCATGTGTGTCCTGGTGGCCAAGGTAATGCCCTCTGCACCAGTAGCTAGCAGGGTGACGTCATGACGTGGAGACATGGGTCCCTGCAAACACGTTCGCCTTGTACTTCTATCTAGTAACCTCCAAATGAATGCTTGTTCGGAAAAACCCATTCACCACAATCTCACCTAAACACGTGAGCGAACACTAGAGGTTTACAGGGTTGCTCACAATCATCTCCTTACCGGATCAGTCTGCCATTTGTAAGGGTGTTATTGTGTTACAAGGTTGTACAGCTCTGCACATTCACCAGTGTGGTGAGACAAGGAATTCATCACCGTAAAGGGGTTACTTGAGTGACCTCTTTCCGTGACGGACGAGATGAGGTTGCACCTAATATGTTATTGAAATCCAATTCGCATGTGGAAGGCAGGGACAGGCATTTCGATCAGAGCATCAATTCATTCCATCAGAGCGCAGAATTTACATCTTTGTCAGAACAGTATTTAAATGCGTGAGTCTCATCTCAAATTTGAGTCATAATTTCAGATTACAGAGTTTCAGAGTTTACAAGATGGTGATTCTGATGTGCAACATCCACTGCAGGTAAGAAGCAGAGGCATAAACAATTCATCCAATGGATGGGGCAAGCCGTAAGGTGGCTAAGCTAGAGCGGTATTGTTGGAAGTTAAGAGCGAAGAGCGACAGCCCTACGGACGGATGCCTGAAAATCAGATGTCCACGGGCTCGTCGTTATCTATACTTTCATAAGGTTCCGGTTCAAGCTCAGCATTTTGTGATATAAATCTTGTGGAGTCTCTGCATAGCATAGCTCCATGATTATAACTGTTTCAGAGATATTGCATCACTTCTCAAACACTCGCGGGTATCCTAATTGTCAGAAGGTCCTTTACTACAGAAATGTTACGGCCTTGATAGAGTGAATGCTCGTTGGCGTCCAAATCGAAACTCCCCAAGCCGACCCAAGTGACGGAGAATCGTCAAAATGGCCTTTCCCGTATTGTCCAACTTCAGTATCTGTCCCCGCATGTCTGACTCCAGAAAAAAGTACTTCCCTTTCACCGCCTCATTGAAAGCGATCTCCCGAAGTTCCAAAACTCGCTCTACAATGTCATCACCTAATTTTTGCCTCTTGGTTCGCAAAAGTTTGGCGTTCGCTTCAGCAAATCCAGCCATTTCATCAATTGCACCATTGACTTTGTCGAGGGTGAGTCGACCCCTCATGTAGCTCGAGAGAGAAGCGAATTCCTCCGAGGTGAGGTACCATTTGGGCGGAGGGCCCACTTTCTTCTTCTCCTTGTTCGCAGGAGTGCCCGTCGAACTCGGAGGGATGGAACCATTGCCATTCTCAAGCGCAGGCGGATGAAAACTCGTGTACGGGACCTCCATGTTCACGGGGTCGACTCCAGGTAGATGCGAAGGGAGCCTGGAGTAAATCTGCTGGAGCTTTTTCTGCTGTTGGGACGACAACTCAATCAGAGTCTGCGCCTGAGACAGCGCTTCGGCGTCGTTCTTCAAGTGAGCTTTAATTTTCAGAAGCTGCTGCTCCAGCGCCCTGACAGTCACGTCCAGCGACCCCAAATCCGCCGTGTAATTACTCGTCTGCACGCCACGAGTGAGCATCAGCTGCTGCAACTCGGCAATCCGGTGATTGAACGAGCCCATCAGCTGATCAAGCGAAACATCACTCCCGCAATGCAAATCCATCATCGCAGCGCCTCAAACTCTCAAACTCCTCGCCCCGCTCCGAACACCCAATCTGCGGTCCCGTCCTCAGACCCAATCCTTCCCTTCCCTTGACGACTCGAGCAAACGCTTCTTCAAACCACCAGAAATCCACCGACTCCCTCAGGCCCCATTCCCAACTCCACCGTCGAATCCATCCGAACAAAAAGCGTCAGACTTCGCCGTCCAAAATTCACCAAAAGCAGAGAATCAAGAACGAGGCCCCATCCCATCGTCGCTCACAGTGCACGCCTTCCGATGCCCCGCCATTCATTTACCGCCCGCTTCACAATTACCGCCCAAAATTCTACCGCAGCTCCGCGCCGCTTCCTTCCATCAGCCCAGCCAAAAGAAGAAACAAACCCGCACTCGCTCCAGCTCCAGCTCCAGATCGCTCTGTCGATCAGTCGCCACTTCTCTGCGACGGCGACGACTCTCTCGAGGATCCTCAGCAGCAGCAACAGAAATCTTCTGAGGGATCGATCGATTCATCGACGAGCGGAGGAAGGTTTTTGAGGGGCCCTGAAGAAACGATTTTAAAAATGTGGCAGGGGGCGACGAACGGGAGCGCCGGTTTCGTGGATACGGGCGCGGGTCAGGCGCCAACTGGTTGCCCCTCCGCCTCCCGCCATTCTGCATGCGTGCCCGTGTTCAAACTCGTGCCCGGTACTGGCTTCCTCCGCTTCGAATTTTGAACGGGGCGAGAAAAGAACGCCAGAGCTTTCTTAATTTGTGTGCGCGTTTGGCCCGAGACTGTCCCCATCTCCCAAAGCCACGACGGACGATTTGGAGGTGTCTCCATATTTAGCTCCGTGGGGACCTGCGGCACTCGTCTCCTCGTTCTCCAGACCACGCATTGCTATTTCCAATAATAAATTTTTTCACGATTATGGAATTATGGTATAATTATAGTGATGAACCAAATATACTATATGAAATTCTAAAAACTTGTATATACTCCACCATATCTTTCTTATCTTAGCATATTGATATAAATTTAGAGACTAAGAATGATTCACTTGTAATTGTGCGTACTTGTTTTCAAAGTATTTTGATGCAAATTTTGTGTTTGAGCTTGATTAGAATGATTTTAAAATTACTAAAACTTAGACTGACGCGTTGCTTTACACATATCGAGAATCGAAATGATATGAAAATGATGATGTATTCCTCAAGCGCATTGTCTCCAGCAGTTTGATTACAAGACGGTAAAAGAAAGTGAATGGTCGTTTTTCTAGCGGTCATCCGAATCATTTCACTTCACTTTTGTAATGCTGCCGAAGCCTCGCAGTCTGTGTGGGACATGTGCACAGACGGTGGGGTTGGACAAATTGTTTTGTTACATAGTAGAACCCAAAGTAACTCCGTAACATTATCTGATGTTTTAGCGCAAGTTTTCATGTCCAATCTCACTCACTGAAATAATATCATATACGGAATATGATTTTTGACGAAAGAGCTTAATATCTTAGTGAATACAGTACTGTAGTAGAATACTAGTTGTAAGATTTTGTTTACCCGACCATTAATCACACTTCTGAAAACTGACTCCATAGTGCTCCCAGACTTTTTGCAAGCTAAACTTAACTCGCGTCATGTTTTTAAAAAAAGGTAGTTCCTCACGCATCAGCAAGAAAAAAAAGAATTATAAAGTTTATAAAACTCAGCATAAATTTCAATGTCATTTGTGAAGTACCTGGCCCATTGAGGCAACACTTGTTTAGATGTAAACACGAAAGTCTCTTGCCGCTGTTGCACATGAACCTAAAATAATTGTTCCAATAGGTTCGATTAGAAGATCCGTGAGATATAATCAAGATTCACAACGTGGGTTTCATGTGTCATCGCTACTCCTCTAAAGCAATCTCGTACAACTTCTTATGGGTGAGGTGATAAATATTTCCAGTATCATCAAAGCGCAATCCGTAAATGTGTGGATTCTAAACCATCATGCAACAGTTTTGGTAAGAGAGGACATTAAAATAAATGTAATCTTTTCTGCATATCTGAAATCATTTTATTTTTTTTACCAAGTTAAGGATGTACGAAAAGGGATTGTCTTTAGAAGATTTGCCCTAAAATCACCAAATTTCCTGTAAGAATAAGCCCTTAAATCTTTGGAGAAATGATTATTCAGTGTCCTGTACATTACTTTATTTTTTCCCATCCTTTTTGCTATCCACTTGGGCCCCTTTCCATTAAGGGCATTTTATCGTCAGGCAAAACCTTTCCATCGTCAGGCAAATTCTGGGTGATGCACATTGTCTCTCGAGGGTTTTGACGATGCCCGATTCTCCGAGAAGCACGACCAGGGAGCTCGTGCAGGCCGCCGTTTCTTCAGCTCGTAGAGCAGCGGAGCCTCACTCACGTTTCACTGAAACGGAATGCTTTGACGGTGCGAGCAGTAGTCGGCCTTCACGGTTGCGAGATTCGTAGCACAGTATCGAGTAAACTGTTCCTATCTTAGGACCACAAGTTTCTTTAAAAAAACCCATAAGTGAAGATGGAGATTTCTACTTCTTTTGACCTTCATAATCCCCCGAGTTCGGCTTGAGGGGCATACCTTTCTCGGCCTTTTGGCTAAGATCAAGTGTAGTATCTGTTCTTATCAGTTTAATATCTGATACGAGGGTCATCGACCCTCACGATATTAATCTTATTTCTTTCACGGGTGCGAGTCCAATGGAGTAGCTTGCTGCTTCGGACTTGCCAGTGTCGCCTTGGTATTGCACTAACTCCTTGGCCGGCGCAGCCCTACTCCCCTTCACCGGGGAACCAATTAACCAAAATTAGGATTACTCCCATCACTGAATCGAAAAGAGCGCCGTAGAATTTCAATACCATGGTTTTCTTGTATCACGTAATTCTAAGATAGGCAAGTGTGGATGAGGAGGGAGAGGATTTGGACGGAAACTGTTGATGAGAAATCAGCTGACAAACGTGTGATTATTAGGTAACATTGAACTTCTGTGTGGGCAAAGAATGCGGTTCACAGCAAGATGAAAATGAGCCTTGATGTCTGATTTCAATCGGCATGGTGAAACCAAAGAGCTCTTACTTGTATGGCTAAAGCCTAAGGAGCAAGAAATTACGCTTACGAGGAGAACCGTGATCCTGATTTGAGCAGGAGAAGAGGCTTGCGGGAATGCAAAGGGCTTCAGTTAGGTCTGTTAGTATGCGAGCAAGTATGTGCTGTGTATTCAGCTCAGAGCGATCCATTCTTTCGCCTCTTACTAAAGAGTATCGTGTGCGGAATACAAGCTGCTCACCTCAATGTTTGGAAAAGGTCCCTGATGGAGCACCACCATACAATTTTGAAGCAAGAACATGTCACTGGAACGGCATGGAGGACATGTTGTGAGGACAGACTCTAGGCGAGCAATTTGCTCAACTTGTGTGATTTCAATTCTAGCCCTGCATCCGAAATGACAGGGAGAAGTATGAGTATCGGATCGATCTGTACATGTCTAAGATGTGAAGAGTGGTGTTCGAGTGACTGCTCGACTTGTTCTGCACTAAATCAGAAGTTTGTAAACGTGTCCACTGTCAGTCGAAATCTGGGCAAAGCTGCTTCAACGTGGATTCTTCAGCCTTAGTGTTGGCCGATTATGAGCAGATGGATGTCATACGGTGGAGTCGCGGGACATACGAAGTAATGTAAAACTGCAGCAAGATTGACTATCGCTATCGTCCTTCCTGGGCCTCACATTTTGCTTTTGCAATCCTCGTGAGATAGCCGTAAATGCTACGGTTCATGTTTTCTTACAAGCTGCCATAAGCATGTGACAGGTTCCCGAGAGAAGCCGAGGATTTTCTCGTCAGGCCGTCTCCGCAGCTCAGATTACTGCCGCACTTTCGGGCTGCATACTCGTCAATTTTGTGTCACATATAAATGTAAGATCTTCAAAGGAATTTGGAAATCAAAAATTGCTCGACGCGATCTCGGCAGGGATGTCAAATATACTCGAGAAGACCATGACGCTTTACTTTCCGAAGAGTATGATCGATTCCGACACCCTGTTGCGCTAAATGGTAAGCAACTGAGGTACTCAGTCAGCCGGGTCGACGGTCTGAAGGTCAAAGCCTTGAGAGGTGGACTGATATGGAGGTTTCATGTCTTCATCGTCGTCCACTTCGACCTGGAGGAGCTGAATGATAACATGCTCACCACCTTCATATCTCAAAGCTCTCGAAACTAGATGAGAATAAAACTTGATGGGACCCTCCAACCATTCCGAATCTCTGCACTTTGGTTCGGGTAAAGTCTAAACGACTGTTGTGGAGTAGCCTTCTTAAACCCATAAGTTAAGCATCTCAACATTATAGACATCGAGGCATAAGAGGCAAAGTTGTTCCTATCTCTTTCATCCAGCCGTGTGTTCAGCCCAGAGCGAACTATTCTTTCGCCTTTTACTAAAGAATACCGTGTGCGGGACACTAAATCGGTTTCGACCAATCTTTGGACCGCTCCCTTCCGGGAGCACCACCAAGTAAACAAAAAAGGATTGGATTACTGCCAAGGAAACATAGAAGGATGGAATGCGACCTGGCGAGACCAGAAATGAAAGATTAAAGTGGTAACATCACCCTTGGATCAATGAGTACTATGGATTGCGGAGTGCCAATAACCGCGAACTGGCATTGTAGGCTGCTAATATTTTGTGTTATAGTAGACAATCCCAAAAGCTTCGATGTTTGGGTTCAGTTTTAGTGTAGTCAGATGACTGGATTCAGAGATCAGAAGAACTCTATTCAAGCTAACCCGCATTCATAAAACATTTGAAAACGTGATTTTCCCTCCGTGAAATTTCGAGCCTCCGTAGACAGGCTCTGAGGTTTGATCCGCAGCCAGAAAACCACAGATGGCTTTGATTCGAGCGAGTCGCCTCTGATCTGTGCCGATACATGTCGAACTCGTACGAGCTCGATAACACGACACCTCGTCGTATCAAACACATTGAGTGTGACTACGTGATCAGAGGTCGTGAAGGCAAAAAGAGGCAGAACGAAAGAACAAGAAAACAAACTTCTCAAGGGAATGAAGGCAGTGTCACAGATTTAGACCAACTGGTCAGACCAGTTGATCTTATAGTTGCAATTCTTCTATTTACCTTCTCATCTGCAACTTTTGATTTTCTGAGTAATCAGAGTTTAGGGTTTAGAGTCAGAATATGTACTCGACCGGCGTCCAGGGACGCTTTGATGATCACGAAGAAATTTCCTGAATCAGGGTAAGAAAACATCATAATTCAATCAGACATAGTCACCAGCATGTTGGTTTACAGCTAATATTATCGTCAAGAGTGTAAACCAAGAAAATACCAACAAATAAAGTTACAGTAATGATTTCAACCTGTTACTTATATGATTTCTGGCTCAGTGTTTGTTTGGCTGCGCTTTCCATCCAGTGCATCGTCTAACATCGTCCCCAGTACTCTCCAATTCGCTCTCTCTGCGTCAGATGCATCCGTTCATCTACCTCCAGCTGCCCTATCTTCCTTTCTAGCTCATATCTTTACTTTCTCCCTGCAATACCCGAGTAGTTGAAATAGACCCGATCGATAAACTTGAAGATTTATATTACTATATTCTCAATTCCGTGATGACCTGTTTTCCATGATTCTCTCTTACCAACTTTCATGGTGGTCTAGAACAGATACAACAATTAATGAATACTAAACTGGCGTAGACTCAATCATCAGACGTATAACATAATTCACATCCGGGTTTCTTCCGTTGGTTATTGACGAGGCCGTACAGAGGGAATGAAAATTCTAGACCAAATGAAGTAACGAAGAGATTGCTCCCACTGAGATGGCAGTAATTTCTTCGTAGCAAATTCTCGTATTCCAGGTTTATTCGAGCTGGGGTGACTTTCTCGCCATGGCGAGGACTGAAGGCCTGCATTGCGTATCCTGGTCATGGGGAGGTGGACTCAGTGCCCCATAGGACAATGCAGTGCTGGGCCTTGTTGAAGGTACTGGAAACTGGTCGTCTCCGAGTCCACGAAGAGGACTGGGGCACATACACTCGGTGAACGGCTCTGTCGATGCCGACCTTGGGTCAGGGGGACTGCACCGGATGTTCTTCATCTCGTGCACACGAGCGACCTTGCTCACAGATTCTAGCAGACGAGAGCAGCAACTCGAAATCCTGTCGGACGCTTCATTGATTTGGGTAAGACGGAATATTTTCTCTCTGGCGAGGCGATCTCGTGGCAGTCAGGTCTGCTCTCTTGAAGGTAAGAAAAGTCCATCCATTTTCCTCCTACGATTTCGTATTTAAAGTGGAGATGTGATTGCAGTTTGTGATAAGACGGGTTGATCGATGATCGATCGCTCATCAGTTTATAATTTTTTGTTCATTAGATCGAACCATGCATCTTTTAGTTCGTGTTTTAACATCGCGAGGAAGCTTGGTTGTTGTTCCGATTCAATGCTTCTCTCACCGAAGCACATGGAGGATGCTCTTCCGGTCGCTTTGGGCCGATCAGTTGGGGAAAGTGTGTGTCAGTGGGAGGATCATTCAATCAAAACATGACACAAAAATCTCGTCATTTTGACAAAATTCCCAGGTTCCCCTGGTCCCTAGGGCCAGACTCGGTTCATCGCAGCAGATCTTGCAACTTGTGAGAACCACCCTCTCTGATTTGACTGGTGTTGGTCATGCTTTCTCGTTCCAGCACCAGCCAGTTTTGAGGTATAGCTCTTGATGGGTTTTATTTTCATACTGAACTCTTCCTCGACACACATGTCAAAACGAATTCCATGTCCAGCATTTCGATTGTTACATGTCTTGCATAATATTCTGTCGGTGGTGTCGTTGATAGGAGAGATCAGTTTAGTGCTGGATAATGTGAGAAGCAAAAGCAATAGAAGCTCTTGTCCGGCACGATGTCATAACCATCGTCATGGTCGTTATCCATGGTCCACGCTTTTCGTCTACCAGAGTTCTCACCGAAGGGTTTGGTGTACTTTTTGAATATTATGCGCGTGAGTAGATGAGCTGAAACACAGCATCAACTCCAGTGATCGATTGAAATCCTCCCTTGTTCTGCATGCAGGAGTCCTTCTCTACTAAACACTGAAGCTCGCAAGCCGAAGCTCACAGAGATTCATCTCAGGCCATGACTGCTTTGAGGGAGTCATCTACCGTCCCTAGCGATCATGTAGACTTCAAATAGAGCTTCGGAGCAGGAGCAGATGACACTCGCATTTTGTGGTTTATGTCTGAGGCTCAAACATCGATGTAAATCACAAAATGAGGCATACATCGAACTGAACTCTTCTGCTGCGTGAAACCTGACCATGATATATACATGGCCCTCGTTTCCTGTTCACAAGGAGCAAGTACGAATCGTGATCAGGTTCGGAGCAGGCGACCATCACAGTTCTGGATACGATATTACGAAAAGCCCAATTGTTATCAAGAATTGATGACAAGGGTGGAAAGCTCTTTCATGAGATCATGGTAATGTTATCATAAACCAGGGAAACCGTTTTTGAAGTTTGCATTTATTATCTTCCATTTTTTGGGTGTAAACATCTTCTTCATATTTTCGAGGTTTGTGAGCACGAAACAAACTTTGGCCAAAAGTCAAAGACATGTTTTGGTTTGAACATCTTGTATATGTTTCAGTTTATTGCCGTCTGTGTTCAGGCAGCTCTAGATCATTTGAAGATTTTGAGCAGGACGAGAACTTCAAAAGTATCTTCCAGTCGAAAACCTGACCGGGATATCAACGTGGTCCCCGTCTAAGATATCTTAGTCAGGTTTCCGATAAAGAAAAGAAACTTGCTCAAGATGTAGGAAGTCGAGTTTGGTCGGGATTTTGCACTCACATTTTTGTGGTTTCCGGCCTCGTCGGGAACCAATAGATCGTAGAGTGGTTAGGACCAAGAAGAGAACTTCAATCAAAGGAGTCAACAGCATAATCTGTCTTTAAACCTAACCAAGACGTCAACATGGTCCCGTCGGATGGGGACCAGGGCTTCTAGTCCAAGCAAGAAAAGAAATTCATGTGAGTCCGAGTGCATACTTGGGTTGGAATCCCTGGCATGTTATCTGTGAGATTATCGAACACATTTGGAGGTTATCGAGTACAATGAGAACTACGGTTCTGAAATCCAAAAGCAGCTTTTGGTTGGAAGTTTTACGAGAACATGAACGTGAAAGTATCAGCCAAAGGCTGGGACCGTAATGTGTCTTTGAAGCCTTTGAGCACGAATGTGTTGTTGTATTGCCAGAGGAATGTCGTATTGTTTTGCTGGTCGAGCTTTCGCTCGACCATTTTTTCGCGAAAGCGCTGGAAGCCTATTTTATAGCGGATCCTCGTTTACTCTTTCATAGAGGGCGGGGAGCCACACTCACGGGAAAGGTCGTAGCTGTTAACTTCAGTTCCAAACTTTGTAGTTTGAATGTGCGGCATTTTTGTTTAGCTTGGGCAATGAAAAGTGTGAAACATAGTACTGTAACAGTTTGGCGAGAGGGAAGCTTTGAACTTAACGCAACATATGAGTGCGACTGACGAAGGATTTTTCTTGTTAAGATGGTTCTTCGAGTCTGCTCAAATCGTAGTTGTGTATGTTTTGATAAATTGCTACGCCGGACACAACTCTCAACATGTACTGATCAAGTTTTGACCGAAGTTTTCGAGTTTGATGTACTCCGATCGATAGTCGAAAAACATCCGGAGTAGGTTCATGTCTAGATCTTCGGTGTTCACGCCTTGCGCTATGTCTTCTGCACTTGTGCCTCTTGTCAGGACTTCTTGAAAGATGCTGGATGATGATGTCAAGAATCTGTGAGGTCCCAGGAATACTCGAGACACGAAAGTCGATGCGCACCGTAGCAAATCGGTTTAATAGAGGAGCTCTAAAGTGGCCCAAGCCTGAGCTCTTCTGTTATCCGAGGAAGAAGCCTTATCCAACATTACCTTTACATCCGTTGGGATCCGCAGAAATATAGAATATAGAACTGCTGGCATACACAAGTCGATGCTGATGAGCATATGAAGCTAAGTTTGATTCGTCATTATCTGCTTACTTTGGCTATTACAAATGAAGGAAACCTCTACGATTCGTTTGTCACAGTCGAGCTCTCGAGCAGGTCATCAACTGGGTCAAAAGTAGGTCAGATCACAGAGGAAGATTTAATGAGATACTTGTGTTTGGCCTCTCTCGGTTGGAGAATAAAAAGCTATTGCTGAAATTCTCTCCAACTCTGATGCAGTAGTAGTTCTTAGAGGCACGAGTAGAGCCCATCAACAAACCCCGAGCTGTAATAAATCTCGGTTATCTTCTGATCTGTGCAGTGGAAATACTTCACTCGGGTGATCAGATTCCGCAGAGCTTACAGAACTTGATTACAGAAGCCAAAGTTTTGACTTCCTACTCTGCTTTTACTTTCGCAAGTACGAAACGGAAATAGGATCCACGAGAGGAGAAGAGACGAGGCAGACTCAGAGCTTGACGACCGCGGTCACTTTAGAGGAATCTAGACCAATTCCAAAAGTGACATATCCATTTTATTCATATGAAATGAAATAGCCATATGTTGGCTTTCCAAAGTGTAGAAGCACCGCAATCATGAGCCATTATTGTCTTTTCGTATGACGTCTTCTACTTTAGGAACTTCCGTATCTTGCACGGGCAACAAATCTCGTTCATTTCGAGAAGAATACGGTCGTCGTCCCCACCCACTGATTTCCAAAAGACAACTCTCTTCTTACCCTCCAATATTCCACAATACATTTCCTTGTTAACTGCGCCAGCACAATCTCCTCTATTTTATACGTAGAAAATTAAAAATTTCGGACCTGGGCTTGGCTGGACAGAATGGTGGTCTTGGCTCCTGGCTCAAGTTAGCAGCCCTTCGAACTCCCAGCGATGGTAAGGACTTCGTCATATTCTGAATTCTCAAAGTTCTGGCATGAAGTTTTTGTTCAGAATATAGAATCAACACTTTGATGGTTCTGAAAACCTGCAAAGGGATGACAAGAATTTGGTATAACACGGCGGTAATGTACCCGAGTTCTGCATGAGCCCAAAGTGCCATCACCTCCAATCAAGTGTGTCGAAGGCTAGTACTGTGAACTGTAAAAGCCTCATGGAAAGGCGAAGGTGAAAACGAAGTTTCATGTTTCTCTTTCTATCTGGATCAGATCTTATGATCAAACGATATACGCAAACCTGTAAGGCGAGAGTCACTCCTCAAAACAGACAGAATGCTTCTCGTTGACTGCAACGCATGATCATGTCATACCCTTGTAGTGGAGAGCTAGGACCTCCAATTTACGACGACATAAGCAATGGTGCATAGGTACAGAAAGTCCACCATTCCTCGGGATTCCCATAAAGCGGCCGAACAACTGCCAACGCTACCAACTTGAGCACTTGAGCAAGTGGATCTTTTCCTCTGAGAGCGACCGAGTCTGAGAACGAGCCAATGAATCTCAGCGCGGATCGGAACCTTGCAAAGCACGTGAACCCAACGCTCAGAATCACTCCAATGTACAGAGAGATGTACGTGAGCAGAACATCGTTGTAGGCTGACGAGATGAAGGACGTCTCGATACAATGCTAAAGCTACTGTGGGGAGGCTGGGCTTTGGCTGAGGCTGGATTTATGCGATAAGCTCGTTCGATGCAGCGGACACGATAACACCTTTTTCGATATCACCGTTCTGAAGTGATGTGGCGGCCTGTGTGATCTTGCACTGAGATGCTTGTCAGAAGGTCAAACCAGTGGTCTGATGAATGAATGAGAACAGTTCTGATTCTGTGAGCAATGCGTGTCGTGACGCGAGAAGTCTCAAGGAAGGATGATAAGGTTGAATAGCTTTTCGAATAAGTCGAGGCTCGAAGAGATTCTGGCAAATTGACAAAATTTGTGACAACTTCTCTGGCCTTTAACCACTCATCAATCAATTCAGAGCTCGACATTGCTGTATTGACCACCTTTGACACGATAGAATCATCCATGGTCGGATATGTTTGCAGAGCGACTCCAATACAACTCCATGCGTGGGCTTGCGTCTCTTACACACGAAACAAAGTTATGGTTTCTGCAAGTTTTCTATCCAGAGAAACAAATGGAAATTGATTGGTGACGCAAAAGGGCTTGTACGGGCTTGTACTTGCCAAAGAGTATGAGAATGTGTAGGATTCACAAGCGTGAAGTTTTTTGAATGGACATTTGAGAAAGTGTCTACGATGTAGATTAGCTAGTTTTAAATTCTAGTGTCTTTGGCGTCTGAATTGTATTTCTTAAACTGATTCTAACTTTTATGTTATATGCGTAGAGTGTACCTGCTTACGTTTTGAGAGTTTATATTTAATTAATCTCTAGAAAATAATTATCGTACTTAAGCTAATATACATCGTAGACACACTCTCAAATATCAACTCTCTAGTAATTGCAGTACCCTATGTAAGTGTTGTATATACTTCTACCTATGAGTTATTGCATGAACATCACTTTGTTATGGTCTTACGCATAGACGTCACTTCTTCATGATAATGCTTAAGAGCGTAGTTTGTAAAAGAAGCTTCTTGAACTTGTTGTGAGCAACCTATCTCTCTTTGTTTCCTCACCAATCAACAGTAAAGATTGTTGTGATCTATATTTCTTCAACAGAAGAAGATCATGGTATTTATTGGTTACATAATTTTTTCCGAACTTCAAGATATTATTGTGTTTCTAAACATTTTTTTTTCTACTTCACTTGGAACAAATGTCTAATCATAAATCATAAATATAAGAAAGATTCAACCCATCTATGCTGGAGTAATTTAACATGTAAAATTCTCACTCTAATTTCATGATATTTTTCAGAGGTGCCAAATCAAATTCAAAATTCAAAAAATTCACATTTTAACACTTGCTCAAATCTTTCACGGTTGCAATATCAAAGACTCAACTTAAAATTTTCTATTCCAAAAACTTCATATTATATTTCATCGCTTTAGTCCTTCTTTTCCTCATGACAAAAGATGCATTGTACCTAAAAGTAACAATTGGATGTATTTACTCCTACATGCTCATATCATACTTACCGTCATGTAAGGAGTTGTAATACATTTTATCTTCATATATGTCTTTCATTACAATAAGCATTGTTGTTACAATTTAGCACTTAGATCAGCATATATAATCATAATTTTTTTAAAATAAACCTTCCAATCAAAAAGTAGTTTACTCTAACATTAAATAGTCATATCACTAGTAAACATGATGTATATAGTTCAAGAGTCAAGGATTAAAAATGATGAGGTAAGTTTTTTAGTGTTTAGTGCAAATACGCAATCTATAACATGTAACGGTTGTAGAAGGGGTGAAATAGGAGAGATTTACTTCATCCTCACTTGCTAAAAATTGTTAATCTTGGACACATGATAAATCATATATATATATATATATATATATATTCCTTAAGTTCTTATAAATAATCATACTTCCAAAGTTGTGATTTACAACCATGAGCTATTAGATTTGCTAATATCTCATTCAATTATTTTCATGACTCATGATATTAACAATGTTGTTACGGCCGTGACAGAAGCAGTGACGGCAGAGTAGTATTTTTTTCCAACTTAGCATGTGGTGTCAACTATTCAACTTTAGGGTTTTCCAGTACAATCCATTTCGAGTAGTTTAGATTCATGACGTGATCCAACAGATAATAAAATAAAAATCTAAATGTGAACCGAAACTCTACTACCAAGTTCCAACTAACACACTATAGTAGTCATTTAAAATGTAGTCATCACATGTATCGATGATAAGATTATTTTTTAAATATTTCTCTAATATTACACTCTAGCCATACTAGAAGATAAAACATAAAACATCATGGAGTGACATAAATTAAAGGCCATGCATTATCGAAAAAAGTTGTGTCTATGTAGCAATCAACAAAATATAGATCAATACCGCCATTTCAATAATAGTTGATCAACACATGGCTATGCCATTGAAATATGTATTTGAGTAATTTGTATGAAAATGTCACATCAATTGAGAATTATAAATTGTGATCTTGATACAAATTATGTACAAATGGAATAGAAAAATAATACTGAGGACTATTACAATTTGTAGTCTAAGACGTGGCTTGTGTATAATACAATGCATACACGCCACACAGAAGTGTATACTCCGAGAGTGTAAAAATACTATGGAATTATATAACAATACATGGCAAATAAACTGGGAGTAGCTAGTTATCCGTCACTTTGATCTAATAATCCCTCATCCTAGTATATGGTCTACCATGAGTGATGAAAGTTTATAGCTGCTAGTGGGGTTGAATTTATGGTTCTTCTAACATGGCTACTCCACCTTTGTGTTCCTCTCTGCATCAAATGTGGCAGGCGTGAGCCACATCAAAGTCAATACTCCGTAGTCTTTGTCATGACTTGTTAGATGTGTTGATTATGACTATACACAGTTTGGTGGAGTCGAATATGATAAGATGCGGTATTTCCAAGTTGCAACGAGATTGTTCAGGGTGCAAGTCTTGGACACTGCTTCGTCATTACATAGGGGTGGACTGGCTTAGCCTTCTAACTTTCAAAGGTACTTGTACTTTTGGAAACAGTAATAGTGTCGACCATGTGTTAACATCTTTAGTTAGTTTGAACTAAAGTAGAGGTTACTCAAAATGTTTATATAGTTTTTTAGCACGAACTAGTCATAGTTGCCACGTCAGCGATCCGCGTGATTGATAGGTAGATAGTAAATGTGTTAGTTAGTAGTGTCACGTAAGCGATCCGTGTGTTTGGTAGGTGTAGAGAAAGTGTGTTAGTTGAAAATACCACATCAGCAATCCGTCTGTTTGTTAGTTTATCCGCCACGTTATCCATCCACTATGAGTGAGATGGATGGTGAGTATAAGATCTTATTTTCTTGTACTTGTTAGAATAGCTATATGAAGAAGAGTAGAACTATTGTTGGTATCTTTCATCTTCAGAATTTATGCTTTCATTTTCAAGTGAACTTTTCTCTAAACTCTAATGTTATACCATGGTTGTAAGACCTTGCATGATTTTATAGTCAAACATGTAATCATTGAACTCGGCGAACGTGACATTGTTCCTAATATACGCATGCGTGTATGTGCTACGGCCTTACTAGACAGGTATTGCACATGAAGCCCTCAGCGAGAGCAGATGACGTTGCGAGAAATGTGTGATCACGCAAATGACATCATGTACTTTGATGGTTATTGTCTAGAAGAGTTGTGTTTCAATAGATTCGTCTCTATCTTTCAAGTTGTTTCACCTCGGCTGGAAGGAGGGAACACCTTGCACCATGAACAACCTCGTTGCACCCTTAGAAATACCGCACCTGATTATTCTCGCCTCCATCAAACTATGGGCAGTCATAATCAACACACCCGACAAGTCACAACAAATGCCAGAGAGGCGTGACTTTGAACGTGGCTCACGCCTGCCACATTTGACCTAGAGAGTATACCATGTTTCACACAAAGAGTAACAGGAAGGTGGGGAAGCCATGTTAGAAGAACTATAAATTCAACCCCATTGGCAGCTATAAACTTCGAACAATCCTTGTAGTGATGATTAGCCCAAAGTGTTGGATAACTGAATATTCCCAATAAATTTCATATATGAAACATATGCACATAGTTATTAGAAATATGCACTTCGTATTATTGTATATGAAGCAGAGATTTTCCAAGTATTAAGCTCTATGGGTAGAGGGGAGTTGCGGTCATTCACATGAAGAGAATCTCGAAGTGGAAAGGGTCTCGATTCTGTCCGGGACGCCGACAGGCACATCGTGTTGTGCAAGAAGACTAGCACCGCCTGCCTGGCTATGGCGGGCGGAGGTAGGCTGGCCACTATAGGCCAAGCTTTGGAAACTCGGGCCCCAGTCCGTGTTCCAGGCCAGCGGATTCGTCGGCACCCGGCGAGCTTTTGCTCATTTCGAGCTCGATCTCAGGCGCCGCCTCACTTGCGCAAGCAAACTAGTCCTCGTGCAGCTGCTGAAGTATCAGTGTCTGAATCAGAGTCCAGCATTTGGAGGCCAGGTCCATTGCCTACGCAGCTTCCGCTTCAGCTTCTGCCGCTGGTCTAGCTCTCTCCCGCCTGCCGTGAGCCATGTCTGACCCGAAAAGAAAATCAGCATGCTCCGCTACTTTTAGTCCCCGGGCAGAAGATCTCGGAGGATCCAATGACTGCTGTGCTGTGCGGAGCTCATTTGGCTCGACAAGGGTGTTTGATTGATATCATTCCCCTCTCAAGCTGCTGACTCGCCACAGCTCGGAGAAGTTGCCGAGCAGTCAGTCGCCTTCCGGAGGCGTGCAGTGATTGGGACAAGTCTTCATCTGTCACTGAGACTCAGCATAGTTCGTGAGCTTCGGTTGCCCCCGACCTCATTTTGCCGTCGGTTTGAAGAGAGGCGACATCACTCGACCACGTACTGGCATCAGCTGCCTCGATTTGTCGATGTGTGGTAAACTGTATTCTTCTTCCGTCGAATGCACAGCTGAAGCGCTCCCTCCCCCGCCTTCCCAGCTGGGAGCACGAATCCGAGCACTCAGTTCTGCTCGCGCTTGCATCGTCGAAGAGTGCTGGCCGCCATGCATCGAATGCAGGCGTTTCAGGTGGACTTGCACAACATGTCAAGATTCTATGATGTCATATAGTCAGATCAGTAGCGGCGAGGGGTGTGCATCGATAGAATCTCGTTTTCATCTCCGAGCCAGCTCGGGTTTTGTCGGAGGACGTTTCTGCAGTCTGTAAGTCTGTTGACCAGGATGCAGATGGTTCGTGAGAAGTGGAAGAGTGACAGTCGATAGCCACCATAGAAGCAGTCGTTATTATACTCCCTGCACCGACCTCTCCCATGGCAGACTGAGCGACGGTCCAGCGCATGCATGATTCAGATGCATTGACTCCTTCCACCAGTGACGATGGAGTTAATTCAGAAATGGAAGAACCGAAGTTGGAAGAAGAATGTTGTCAGTGGGTGCATCTGCTTCCTCGTGCTGGCAGCTCTTATCACCATCGGCCTATACGTCATACTTAATGGATCTGTGAAGGAGAGGGATCACAAGCTGCCAGATTTCCATGTCAAAGAGTTCAACATGTCGAGTCTGGATCAGAGCTTGACCGAAAACAGGATCAGCTCGCAGAGCTCGTTCGTGATCGAGACAACCAACAGAGGCCAGCATATGGACATCTGGTATGACACATTCATGCTGAAGTTGGAGTCCCAGAGCGAGGGCATCAGCTTCGGAAACGGGACTGTCCCTGGATTTTATCAAGCTAGTAAAAACACCACTCTCATTGTTGGGAATATGACATCTGTCCCTGCTGCCGGTGAAACCCTTGATGCAGCCCAGCAGCTGCTACTACAAAATGCTTGGGCCAGTCAGGTTCTGCACCTCATCATCACGATCGATGTGCAAACGCGTTATGCTTACGGCTCGCGCAACAAGCAGATTCCACAATTCACTGCCGAGGTTTCCTGCAAGCTCGATGTCAATCCACAAACCACAGCTGGGTCGCAGCTTTTGTGGGAGTCTTGCAAGGTCGCGCAGTTCGACTGCCTTACAGATATATGCGATTAGCTAGCTAACAGTGGCAAGGTTCAGTCCTTGAGTTGTGATCAACTGTAACAGCTCACAAGATTGCATCACTGTGGCATTGGTGTAGATAGATCGCATCACGAGCTGACAGTCCTCCATCTCAGGGAACATGTTGATGTCAGATTAGAGAATGTAGATTAAAGACATATGTATGGCTAGAAAGCTAGCAATGTCTCGGTTTTGTTTAAGAAACGCCTCCTTCTTGTCATCACTTGAGTTATAAGTCTAATCGAGAGCTTTGAGTGAAAGCATGCTGCTCTCGCTACAAACTTTTCAAAATATACATACTCTGATTCTGTGCCATCATCCAAGTAAGATTGTTGATATCTTCACTATCGAGTGTCCAGGTCTCTATGTGCAATCATCGCTACTCAGCTGGATAGCACACCTTGTAGTCCATGCTAAGCTAGAGTGGGAAAATGTGCGTAGTTTCTGTTTCGCTCGTCAGCTTGAAGGCAGATGTCACATCATCCAGAAGAGAAAGCTCATGACTGTGGTCACTTTCCATATCTGGCTGTGGGTGCAGTGTTTGAGTATGAACCACCCGCGAGCCGTGCTTCACGGTAAACTTGTGCTTGTGTGACTCCGAAAGTGGGTCAAGCCATGCTAACTTTCGGCGTGACACCATTTGGACTCTTTCTGCATGAACGAGGATAAGTTTCAATGTGTTCCGTACTACCCTGTGCTAACTCTCACCTACAACACCTCGTGGAATGTCGAAAGAACAGACGGGGAGGCCAATGGGTCCCCCCTCGTGAGTCTGCTGGCATCAGAGGTAACTATGCGTAGACGAATTTTGAGGTTACAACAGTGGGTGAGAATTTTTACATAGAAATCAGAATGAAATCATAACTGATGAACTAACTCCACAAGCAGTCTCACAAGCACTGAGAAAGTATACATTTGCCTGATTATCATAGAATCGAAGAGTATGAGCCAATTTGTGCACCTCGCACTGCACTTTTCAGTGTACAGCGCTTACCACATTTCAAGCATCTGAACATCTCGATGCTGTAAAGATATACATGGATTGACTTTTCAGTTGCACACATGTTCCGAAAAGTGTGGATCCTGAAAGGACAGACTCAGGTACAGTCGTCCCTTAAATGTACGGATATTTCATCACATGTACTTCACACGGTCCAGGACATGAGGCCCACGACACCATGTAAGCTGAAGTCAGAGACCAACCTCTGTACGGTACGTACTCTAATCGCACTGCGCGAGAGGTGTCACGGCCATCGCTAACAGTCAGCCAGAGCGAGCTCGGTCAAAGGAAAATTTGACCATACTCTCCATCGATTCCGATGCTTTTCGATCGATTGGTGGAAATCGCTCGTGGTCCACAGCACCTTATCTCCACGCAGAACTATTGCTTTTGTAAGGACAGTTAACCTATATATTTTAACTGCAATGTTCTCCAACCACTGTACGTGGCACAAATTCCAGAACTTATGTACCTCCTTTTCGGTGATCCGAAGTTGTAGGGGCCAAAATTCCTAGAAGTGTACACACTGTCCAACCAGTCTTTGGTTCAAGAGAAATTCTGGTAGTCGTACTCATCCGTGAAGCGCTTTGCAAGAATAATTCGGATTGAAATTTTTATGTGTTTCTCCAGTATTCGCTGTCGAGATCCGTGCGAGGCGACTAGGGACCACTTATAGAATTATTCGAGGTAGTTCAAGGGATTGTGTGCGGAGATTGACAACGCCCGTCACATTCTTCCCAACATGTCTCTTCCACGGGTGCGGCAGAAAGCAAAATTCAGACCTGGATGTCAATGCTGCCGCTCCAGATATCATAATATGCAATTTACTTCACACCAACCTCCGTGACGATAACATTCTACAGCAGATTTGAATGCCACACAAGAAGGATGGGCATACCCCAACAAGTATCACATGGATGGAATCAAACTGCGTGATGGCCACAATCATTGTATGTGATTGGGATATCAAACTGGCTACTCTCAGTAGCGTCACGAGGGGAAATATTGATAACAAAAGAAAGTGACACTTAGCAATTAAAAACTATCTATATTATATTGTCTATAAAGCAGGAAAACATCAAACAATTGACGTTGTTGCTACTAGAGTGCGACTATGGTACTATAATCAAGTCAGGTCAGGTGATGTTAGAACTAGGAAGCATAAGTCTATAATGCTCTTCAATGTAAAGTGTTCCAGTCTCACCCACAATTTGCACAGCTAGAGATATGATCTAGCAAGGTTTGCACGTAAATGAGGAACACACGTGTCTAATGCCAAAGTCATGGAGACAACAGTAGCCAAAAGGTCGAAGAACGTGAAGGTCAGGTCCTGTATGTGACAATAAAATCATTTACAGGACCTGCAAGGTGACAGCCTCAAGAGATGCCACTGTCTGTTCACACTTTGTACTCCTCGTGCTCGCAGATGACTTCTAACTTTGTTGGACTCTTTAAGGCCGCATTGCTGTTGCATCACATTTTTTTTATATTACTTGATTTTTAATGACATTCGTTTGAGGTACACCTATGTTACACTCCACCGAAGTCGTGCTTCTGAAACTTGGCTGCTAGGCTTAGGCAAGTAAATTGATACGAAAGGAAAATTTGCATACATACCTCATTATAATTGTGTACAGAAGTTCTTCCTTGTTCTTGGACGTGAAAGATCTAGCCTCCACTTTTTGGCCAGACTGGTCTGACGTTTTAGCGGCTTTTTCTAATAAAGGAGAATGGATATCGAACACATCTCCTGGGAACGCCTCACGACCTGGTTGTCGACGTAATAATGACACTTTGGCGATAGGCCACTGATTGCCTACTCAGACCATCATAGACTATCAATTCGTACTTTTACGGTGAACTGCACAGGAGCTGGATCCGAAGCAGTGATTGCTGCAATAATGGAAGCACAGAATGTTTCTAAAAGTCCAAAAAAAACCAAGCTGCAAAAATTCTAAGCACCTTGATAGACTTAATCAAAGAAGATGTAGTTGAGTTTATTATTAACAGCTGAGGTGAAATTAAATGCAATAAATGTTAGTGTGAAACGTAAGACAAGTCGATATAATTATGGAGGTATTATGTTTCATTAGATTTCTCAATGTAGTAAATAATAACATTTTACCCCTAAGAAAGGCAACAATATTCGGATATATGCCCTTGAGTCAAGTTCGATTCTCATTATTGAGTGTGGATTATATGGCACTATTAGTAGTTATACCACTCTAAGCCTTATTAGTGCATATACTGTAAATATTATATCGTTGTAATACGAACTAAATTTAATAACGGAAAATGAAAGACACCTGCAGCAAGCAGTGTAGTGTGCACGAATTGTTTACAATAACAAGGTGACATTGAGCATTGTCCTAGGCAATTGTCCTATGAAATCTTTATTATACCTAGAGTTCAGGATTAAACTCCAACTAAAGAACTAAAAGCTTAAAATTTATTCCAGATGAAACTTTGAAGACCCTCCATAGGGTTGGTTCGAGAAATCACGATTAGACTTTCGTATTTACTAGAAAGTCCTCGTCGATGAGTTGAAATGTGCCTTTTTTATCTTCATACACTTATGTGCATGTGAGAGCTCACAAGTTTCTGTGTAGGAAGTAAGGTCTTCCATGACTCAAAATTGGTAAGAGAAATGTGAGTGAACAAGTTCAATGAACAAGAAATGTTACTAGAGAGATGGAACGTTTCGTCCCAAAGGATTCGACCGCAATCAGGAACAAGAAGTGTTTCTAAATACTGGATTTCTCGAAGTTTCACTGGGCAGTATCCTCTGCTACAGAACTTTTAGGAGGTGCTAATCTCACCATCACTTTCAGGCACCAATATCTTACATGCAAAAAAAAGCATCACATGGCCTTCCCGATGGACTAATATGCATCTGGTGTGGGTTTGGTTTACTCCAATCCCCAACGGCCATATGTCCAATCTGAAAGCATATCAGTGAACATTCGACGGAGAACATGTCCTCGAAACTCGAAGATGATGAAGTGGATTGCTCAAATTAGCCAGATACACTGTTCCAAATATCGACGTAGCTTTACAACTTTGTAATTGAATAGGCACTACTGCCAGTTGAATAAGAACGAGCTTGACAGAAGTAAAAAATATTTTGGGGAAGATTGTGACATTCTACATGCAGGCTGTAAACTATACAGGCAGAGGCTCTTTGGTAGTAGTAGTAGTAGTAGTAGTTTCCTCGGCCATGTCATCTTGGCCAGTCAACAAAGAAACGGATTTCACTTCATCACCTTCCTCCAGCCGCATCATCCTGACACCTCTGGCGCAAGATAACAAAGCAAGTCAGACAGGACGACAGTATAATATTGTGTGATCAAGTCCTCAAGTCTAGATCTGAAAACTGCACATATCAAGTAAGGTTATCAAAGACACCAGTCCTAAGTGTTTAGTCCAGTAATATTCGGATCATCGTAAAATATGAAGATTAAAGTGCATCACATCAGGCTTCTGTATCCAGATATACAAAGACCATTGCGGATATTGAGGGCATTTAGAAGGTACACTTACTTGGCAGTCCGGCTCTGTATTGAGATGTCTCGAACTCTTAATCTGTTTAGTATACCTTGGTGGCTACCTACCACTATCTCCTCCTCAGCTTGCCCATCCGCACATAAACCTGCAAATTCACAGGTAAAAGATTATATGAGCAGGGTCTATAAATCATGGAAGTTGCAGTTGTACTGAGCTTATTGAAGGGTGTATAATTGGAAATCAAGAAGTTAAATAGCAACATTACCTGCAGAAACATACAAGGATGCTACTGAATCACCCTTCTTCAACTGCACAAAAAAACACTTCACTGTCAGTTACCAGGACGTCCTAAAATTCAAAGTGGAACCTGAAAAGATCATCATGCAAATTACAAAACCTATTGAGAGCTACAACAGTGGGAATTGTTTAAAATATTTCTTCCGACAACAATCGTGATCAACTCAAACAGGTAAGCTAACAAACCTTGCAACCGATGACACCCATGCGCCCCAAGGTACCTGGGGCAAAAGCAGTTATTGGCACTCTTTTACCATATCCATTTTTTGAAACAAAAAGGAGACAAGGTTCGTCCGCTTTTTGCTTTCTGGATCAAGTCCAAGGACAACAATCAGAAAAAAGGCAGACCAAAAGAAATGGCAACGATGACAGCAGCAACAAACTCGGCAAGGACTAAACTACTTACTAAATCAACGATATTAAAAACATAACTACTCCACTGCAAGGGCCATGCCAAGCCACATCTGGGACTCCTCTAACGCAAGACAAGAATCCTGAGCTCTGCTGCTTCCAAATAGATCATACTACGGACAATCTACCAGACAAAGCTGCAGAAAACCTACTTGGCTTCTTTGGCTTCCTTCAAGAGAGAAGCAGGCACGATGTCCATGGCGGCTAGTTTGTCACCGGCCTTGAGCTTCATTGCTCGAACCCCTCTCGTGGCCCTTCCACGTGCTCGTAACTTCACACACACAGAAAATAACAATATCAACAAAATGAAACAACCCTTTCATCTTTCGATTTACCATTGAAGTAAGCCCGTACGCATATGCCTTGATAGTCAAAAGACCGTTACAGCTCACCTTGGCTCAGTGGTGCTACTAGCTAAATGACGGACAAAGTAAGATGGAATGAGGAAGAAAAAGAAAGAACTTCAGAAACAGTAGAAAGCAAATTGCAAGTCTTCAAGATTTATCAGCGACAGCTGTAACCGCAAACAACTTCGAACTACCACATCAAAACAACAATATTATTATCAATCCCTTGTTCTTTTGATCATCGTCATATTTGTGATCACGACTCGTTTCTTTGATCGCTGTTGCACCAAGGTAACAATAACTTAACATTTGATCCAATCAATACTTATTACAAAAAAATTTTTCCGACTGAAGACGGATCCCAATAACTGATTTCACCTTGTCATTGTCACACGAGACTCTAACAAGCATGCCACCTTCGGAGCTGATTGCCACTTCATCTTCTTCAACTGCTCTCCGCACCCACCGCAGCTCATCACCGGGAACCTGAGATCGCAAGGTTCGTGCACTGGTCTTTGTCAGTCCAGGTTGAACATCATACTAATACTGATACAATTCAAAGAGTAAATTGCACTTCCTGTACTACTGCATGGAATGAACAGTTGTTATATGGCGATTCGACAACACAGAAAACCATCAAACATTCAGAAAGTATTGAACTGACCAGTTGAATTGCCACAATTCCAGTTGGACGAATAGCTGAGAAAAATGACAAAGCAGTCCGTTTGATGTATCCTGCCGAGGTCAGCATCACAAGATACTGGTCCTCAGCGAACTCATCAACAGACATGACTGAAGTTATTCTCTCTCCAGGAGGAAGTGGAAGTATCTGGCATACACACAAAAATTGTGTAAGTAAAAATATAAAAACTGCGAATGTGACAAAAAAATTGGAAAGATCAAGATACCAATCGTAATTGAAAACTGCATAGTCTCCCGCCACGTACCTGAACCAAAGGATTTCCAGCAGCAGTCCTGGAGCATTCTGGTATTTGATAAGCCCGGATCGAATAAACGACTCCACGCTCACTAGAAAATCATCCCATAGAGTAAGTAAATGTAGCTGAAGGAACAATCGTCGTAGTCGGATAGAAACAGAAGAAAACTACGTACGTTGTACTCGAGAGAGCGACATGTAGTTCAGCTACTGAGCTTGCTCGACAAATCTTCGGCAGCAAACAGTCTGAAAACAAAGTGCACAGTACTTTGGAAGAACTTAACTGCACGTGTAATAAAATGGGAATTGAAAGTACCTAAAGAATAGGACATAATCATGAGTTCGACACGCAAAGAATCTTGATAATGCATCATCATTCCTCAGCCTTCCTCCAGATTTGCCGGCGGTTCCACGATTCTGCGCTGTAAAAGTATCGGGGGCCATTCGCTTGATGTACCCCTTTTCACTTAAAGTCTACATACAAATAGACGAGGTTCGAATTGTTACAAACAGAAAAACATACAAAGACAGGGTAATAACGAATCCAAAGGTTGAGATTCTTTCCTCAACCAAGACAACCAGAATTGTTTATTTCAACTAAATAATTGTATAAAAACACACAGCTAGAAGACCGGAACAGCTAGAGAACGGCAAGAGTCAGACGATAGAAACACCCAGACAGCAACAGCACCCGTCGTGGTTAGAAGAGGCAGAGTCCAGGCTAGTAGCGCTGGTCACAAGTTTCTATTTCACATAATTGCAGCAAGAGCAAACTCGAGGCAAACAGTTGGGTAGCTCTTTAGCCAATCACATGGATTTTTGAAATCTTCATAGGTTAGGCTAGGTCCATACGGCAGGAGAAAGGAGAGGTATTGTTTCAACAAAATGGCCACATACCGACTAAAGTTAAGCAATAGGTTATCGCATATTCTAGTAGGTAAAAATAAACACCAAAACCAATAAGAATAAGTCACTCAGAACCACTTGTCTTTGACAATTCATTTAGCTTCTTCTATTCATCCCTCTCCAAATTTATCATCAGAGCGATGTGCTTTCGTATATACAGGTTAGTCGCCGACGAACATGCAGTACGATGAAGCAAAACGAATCCGATTCACATATATCGGAAGTAGATGTGTGTCAGTGCTTACCACTAAGGTTTCTACGTTCGCAATAACATCGACATCGTTGATTTCTCCATCCCCACCTTGCTCAATAGAAGTCAGACGAGGTGTTCCATACTCCTTTTTCAACGCTAATGCTTCTTTCTCTATGACCTGCATTAATCCCCAACTTTTCAGTTAGACTCCAATCTTCCTTCGAAACCTCCATCTCAATGCCCAGTTGTCTATTTGAAGCTTGCCTTTCGAATTCTCCCATCGCGTTCTTAAATCACCGCACGCTTAAAATTCCAATACTTCATTGAAAAGTAAGGGTATTTTATACAAGGTCCTGTCATTGATATCTTTAAGCTACTGACATATTCCACTTAAGGCGAGTATTTCACAACTGCATCTTGCTCAGGGACATGTGTTATGCTCTGGGTCCTCATGACTAAAATTAAGGGCCCAGAGCATAACAGAAGACTCAAAAGTATCCCTAACTAACACCTGTGAAATTTCGTGCTGTCCAGGCCAAAATATGATTCACGTCAGCAAGGTACTCTAAGTCGATAACTTTTTGAACACTCAAAAACCCTTGATCAAGCAAAACGCAGTACCTGCAAGACGCGCAGTTTACTTTGTAGAAGCTGTTCTAAGTCAGCAATTTCACCGGATAACTCTTTTTGTTCGTCCACAAGCTTGTTCCGCTGCACAAGAAAACTGCTAAATAAGACCGGTTTGGAAAATCGTTTGCCCAAAAAAATATCCCAGGCACGAATTATCTAACACTGTTTCTATGGGCTAAAAAAGACAATGAACATGCACTCTATGAGCAGAACACATTGTAGCTGTAGGAATCACGCACCACATCCAATGGCAACAAATTTCATGAACTACGAGGTAAGATCTGCACTTACTTCAAGACTAGTGAGTCTTCGTAAGGGCATGCCTAGAAGTGCATCAGCCTGCAAATGTGAAACTCCGAACTCTGCAAAATTCCAGGAAGGTTTCACTCAAGGTATCAAGAACCATTAAGACAACTCTTTGGGATCGAATCACAGAGACAGCATGTATTTCACACTTAACCCAAAGTTGTCCAGTAAAGCCCTTGGTAACGAACAGTAAGGAGATGAAAAATTTAACAGCGAATATACTTGCCAGTCTCATATGCCTAACCTCCTCGCCCTCTGGCTATAAACCTAAACTAAGCTACTTCCCTTTCTCTAGACCTCTCAGGAGATAGGTGGAATTTTTGGACTTCACTTCACTAGACGGGTAATATAACTGCTCTTGCTACTTTCACATACAAGTACATCTTTAAGACAGCAAAATGTTTACAACCACAAGAAGATAGACATTCACAACTTCAATCCAATTGAGACCAGAGAACCATTCATTTGTCATGATTCTACATCTTAATAGACCACCGAACCAGGTGGGATTCTTCCAAACAGATAATCATACATCAAAAAACAAAACAGAAGAAAGATAAACGAAATTTGGGTTGCATGTTACCCTGCTTCAGCCCCTCCGATGCAGCATGGGTATCTTTTGCACCCCGAATGATGGTCACAACTCTGTCAAGATTATCTAACCCTATAAGAATTCCCTGTGCCAGCGCATAAAACCACTTCCTATTAGAGTTGTCAACTAGCAACTCACAAAGTGAAAACTCGTCATTTTTGGCATGCTTACGATTAAGAACCCGGAATGTCTAGACGTAAGCACAATATTAAAGACCACAATATACAGGTATATCAGATATGCCACGAAACGAACGCCTGGGTGCCGCATCACTTACCTTTACTATATGTTCCCTGTCTTGGGCACGGTGAAGATGGTACTTCGCCCGCCTTTCGATTACCTCAATTCTAAATTCCAAAAAATGCTGCACCCAAATTCGAAGTACCATCCCGTAATTAGAGCATTCATCCGCAAAGACAGCTTCCTTACAGCTATCAGAATCAAGGTGAGTGATGCAGAATCTTGAAAAAACATTATGGACCTGGAGCAATACCCTGTCTATAATCCCGAGAAAAATTTCTGAGCCTGCAACTTAATAAATACTCCAGTTACAAAATAGCGGTGCAAAGCCAACAAAGCACTATACGGCATTCCATGTCTAATGAGACGATGATTAGTGGAGAATTAGACGGCCAAGATAAATTCCAGAAAAGTACCTGCAGCAATTCTTTCAGACCCAAAGTCATAGGCTCCCCATTGACGATCCTGAGTAAATTCATTGTTTATTCAGACTACGGTCAGTGAAATTCAAGATTGAAGAAAGTGAATGTCAAGCTACATCAATTCTGACGTGGAATGACCAGTAAATTTTGGAACATGATTGCAAGATCATTGATAAGGAGAGAAATACATCCAAATAGTTCAAATCTTATAACAGTTCATAGCAAAAGGGTGAAATCAGCAAACTTACCCCACCATATTGCAGCTGAACCTTGACTGAAGAGTAGTATATTTATAAATATTATTCAAAACAACAGCGGGTGTTGCTCCTCTCTTCAGCTGAAAGAGTAATGAAGGTGAAGTCAGACTAAACTTGCAAATACACGTAAGACTCACGTACAACATAAAAGCTTCAAAGCGAAACAACCCTAAGCATGTTATCAGTCGCCTTGTACATCTTGAAAGCTACAACATTTGCATATCAACGTGTCAGGACAGTCCAAGCTTCAAAAGTCTCCCAAACTTTTTCGTTTACTTAAGAAATGCTACACTGGGTGAATCAAGCTACAAACCTCTATCACGATTCGCATTCCATCACGATCACTCTCATCCCTGATGTCACTAACACCCTCTAGTGTCTGCATCCAACGCAAATAGAACAATTATGCATGATGAACTTGAAAGTGAGGTGAAATGAGCCAAATGCGACAGCGCTTTAGCCAGAAACAAAAAGTAGAACTCAGCACGTCAACACATGGCTCACGAGCATAAGACCCAAGAGTTACATTATGCATAAATTGTGCAACCGACGGCAAGAACAGAGCGATGCTCAAGTGCCAAAACGTGAATTCTCTCCAGAGAGACTGACACGATTAAGGAAACTATCTCATAGAGAACAGCAGCAATTAAATTGCACGAAGCCAAAGACATAGGGTAGAAACAGCGCATGCATTATACCGAGCGTAAGAATCAAGGGATCGAAAGCCAGGGAGTAAAAAGATCTTCAGGATTGCACGACGGTTTCGTAGCGAAGGTGACTCCGTATCCAGGGCAAATGCGAACGACAAAATACAACTTCGAGAAGGTACATGTCACTCGAGTCATACCTTGGTATTCACGAGGTCTGCGATTTTTTCGACAAGCGCAGCTTTGTTGGTCTTATAAGGAATCTACAGAAACATCCAGTCAGAACATGCCATTCACAACATAAATGCAAGAAAAGGAGTCATCGTAAAACCCTGACAAATAACTGCGAAAACAAAACTTATGATCTTCTTGGAACTGTGTCTGTCATAATATAGTCATTCATTTTACTTCGCACAAGTTCATCAGGTATGTTCCGATGTAGACATCGGCAACTACAGATAAACAGAAAAGAAGGAAACAATCTCACCTCACTAATGATAATAGCTGATCGGCTTCCCCGTTTATCTAGTTCTTCAACTTCAGCCTTTCCTCTAACAGTCAATCCTCCTCTGCCAGTTCTGTAAACCTCCAGTAATCTGCATTGCAAGCATTACAGGAAGCAGTCAGGCTCTTTCACAAATATAGAAGGTGAAAAAATTCAGGAATGAGTGCGAGTTTCAGTCTTCAACCCAGTCTCGATATATCACCATTGACATCGAACAATGTTTGAGGAAAAACTAAATACAGTGAATTCGTAAATCCAGCCTGAGGAAATTGGTCCTCAGGCGTTCAGTCATTCTGCTGAACATTTTTCTACGTGACTTTAGAAACATATTTTTACCAATAATAATATAGCTACAAAGAACTTCTTGTACAGCGAAGCCTCGGAGGAGTTTTGAGTGTGTAGACCTACCCGGACGTTCCTAGAATCTGGCCTCCGGTGGGGAAATCAGGTCCTGGCATGTGTTCCATGAGTTCTTCTACCTACAATCCAACAAGTTTGTTAGTTTCGGACAGCAAGTCTTACGAATAAGCATCACAAAAGCATGCCATAATGGTTGTAAGTTGGGCAACTACCGTGGCGTTCGGATTCTGAATGAGAGATATAAGTGCATCCACGACCTCTCCAAGATTGTGAGGCGGGATATTTGTTGCCATTCCAACCTGATCCAGTTCAAAGGAACAAATCAATAGCCACTCCAGATATTCAAAACAGAAAAAATATGAAACTTGTTCCATCCTCCTCTGTTACAGGTTCAGCATTCCTACGTGTAATTACACTGAGATCCATAGTAAAAACATTTGTCATCTTACAAAATATATATAGTTTACTCAGAGAACCAAACTGAAAATTTCCAAACTCTAGTCGGTACTCACGGCGATTCCTGATGCTCCATTGAGAAGTACGTTTGGCAGCCTTGCAGGCAAAACCACAGGCTCCTCTTGTGAGGAGTCAAAGTTTGGTATGTAATTGACCTGCAGCATAAAATAAAATTTTACTGCCACAAATCACACCCGAAATGTATTCACACCAACAGAACGCTTTGCTGGTCTATCTTAACAAGCTCTCATTCAAGACATGTGTAGTGCGTAATGAAGCATGGATATACGCCTATGAGATCTTCCATCCCTGGTCCTGCTACATAATTTTCAATAAAACTCTGATTTTACGTCCTAGCACTTCTCCTGTGGTTCATACATTTGGGCCTGACTCGAAATCCAGCCAAAAGAGAGACCGACAGCAATAACATGATAAGGAAAGAAACTACCGCCGAAATCAAGCGAAAAGACGAAAAGGAACATGACTAGGTGATATTAGAATCAAAAAGTGGGCACATGTTTCATTCTCGCAGATATTTCAGTGCAGTTGTGAAACCGACAGGAGAACACCAAAAACATTTCATAAGGGAATATACGAGAGTGCAAGTCTAACAGTTCAAAGGAAAAAGGAAGATTGTTTGCTTACGGTGTCTGCCTCGAGGTCTGCAAGAAGCATCGACTCTGACAAAGCCTGCGTGAACCCAAAAGAGACAAACGAAAGGTTAAATCCAGTCATAGTAGCCGAACGTATTCTCACCCCCATATTCTGGGTGAAGTGCAAGAGCAACGGCAAATAAGCAGCATGTAACTCAAACATAAGGCTTTACACGGAGGCTTAGCTCACCTGTAGGCGACATTCCGTATAACGCATAGCTGCAGGAGGGTCGGCATCCATGGATCCAAAGTTTCCGTGGCCATTTACAAGGGGTGATCGTAAAGAGAAACTCTGTTCACGCATGAAAAACCAAATTTGAGCACAACACTTAAGAACACTTGACATGAAAATGTACATGAGTTCTACTTAGATGGATGGCTTTTCTCACAAAATTGAGATTAAGGATCAGACGTGTATGTATGGGCACAACAATCTGCGATTTAACATATTAGTGAACACATTGGCGTCAAGTGCAACATTTATTTCTTTATTCCATACATCTGCGGATAGGACAAGGCGCAACCAACCTGTGCCATCCGGACGAGGGCATCATAAACTGCTGAATCTCCATGAGGATGGAATTTACCAAGAACCTGAGAGAATTCCAAGTGCACATTCAAATTGACCTCAACGACAGTACACTCAAACTTTGCCTCAAATCAACTTCAAGAAAGTGAATGCACATCAACACAAGTTACGCTACTTCAAACGTAACTACACTGAAACATGTGCTACTCTTGATATAAAGCTCCACCATTTTTGCTCTGCAACTGACTGGCAAAATTTACCTCTCCTACAACTCGAGCACATTTCTTAAAAGGCTTCTTAGAGCTCAAACCCAATTCATGCATAGCAAACCTGCAAATTCAAAGACGGAGCACATCATACTCTCATCCTCAGTACAATCAAGAGTCTGGCTTGTTTATTTGGATCTCATCTATATTCGACATTATAATGCACTTTATCAATTTTCACCGCATAGAGACATAATATATGAAGGTTAAAATACAATGGTCAGTTCCATATTCTATATAGTTAGCAAGACCGAGTACAAGTACTCAAAACAAGAAGTATAACTATGACTGAAACAGTGTGTAAATACACTGAGACCCTAGTGGGAGCTGCACAATACAAACATGATTAGGACTGTTCTTAAGTGTGAAACAAAACAATAGAGACACCTTACCTGAATCAAGCTTGAAGAAAACTACGCAAAGCAATTTAATCCAACGGAAGTGAAATAACAGAATGAGCAGAAGCTGAGTCGGCAAGGACCCGCAAACTATCCATCAGCGAACAGTGAAGATAATGGGATATTTTTATCAAGAACCACTATTGAACCCAACAAGGATTGTGCAGTTTGATCATATATGAAGCTTGCTTCGAGATAATATTATTGTGAATAAGATGCATGTATTTTTCCTCCTCTGGATAGTCATTCCCACATGTCTGGTGTAAACAAAGAGCCCAATATCGATTTTGTAAAGTCAAGACTGTAGAGCGAGGTAATCTCAAAGCCAAGTTAAAATGAGGTGACAAAGATCTTCACTTACAAGATGCGACGATGAACAGGTTTCAGCCCGTCTCGAACATCCGGTAATGCACGTCCAACAATCACAGCCATGGCGTACGCCAAATATGACTCTGAAGCCTCTCGGTGCAATTCCCATTGCACAATGCGGGCATCTTGAGGACGTCCTTCTCCTGAACTTACATTAAAAAATAGGATTTAACTCTGTCATTTTCTTGACGAGTATCAGCTTGACCACTTGACCTTCTGTGAGTCTACCTTCCACATTTAGAAATCAACAGTGTCGCAGAATCCTCAGTGCTCACGTACATTATTGACAGTAAATTATTTTGCTACTCTGTGAACAGATTAATTATGAAAACTTCAATCCAGAGGACGAAAGTTTTAATTCCTTCGCCCCGAATACCGAGAAAATTCCTTAAAATTGGAACACGCATCGAATACCACCAACTAAAAACAATTCTTGACTTAGGGTGCAATTTGTATCAACTCCAAACTGTGAGGTCCACATCATTACCTAGGTAACATGAATTTTTTGGTATCGAAGAATCTTGTGAGCAAATTGGTAATGTAGCAAATATGAACGAACCTGTATCTTGTTCCTCATCCAAAGCTCCATCTTCTGCGAGTTCACTAACTGCTGCCTGTCCTTTCGGCGGCCCACGACCATTCTTGCCGGCACTGGCATCTGAATAATTGTCCCCACCATTCTTTCGCAAGGCCGCGAAGCACCTGACATGAGGAAAGGAGTTTCTAAGCTCTGCCAATTTACAGCGATCTCTATACAACAATGGCTGCCTCCTCAGCGAGGACAAGTGTAATTTCCTGTACGAGCGCCAGGAAGGAAGAGTAAAACTCTGGCTCAAAGCTCCAAAACCCAGAACCCTGGGCGCTGCAGCTAGAGCCATGATTCTAGTGGCTGAAGACGTCGACGATGCTGAGAGTGCCGACCCCACACTTTTGCACAGACGAATAGTTTGTTGATATGTCATTTCTCATCCTGATGCTCTGTCCACCCGAAGCATCGCCCCACCCAAAGCTCTGCACATTTCAATCTTCCGTCACCAAATCTTTCTCCGAATCGCAAAACCCTTCGACCTCACAAAAGACCAAAGCGTGCCCTCGTCATCTGCTCTCGTGCACCGTCCTACATCCACAAGCCTGCGAGCAAGGGACTCGCTAAACCCTCGGGCATCAAGCAATTACCGAGTTCTGCCACAGGTAACAGATGACGACGTGGACCTCTAAACCCTGCAAGGTAATCGAGAAGAGTACCAATTGCTTCATCCAGCCCTCCGAATGAATCCACGGACATTTTGCTTTGAACTGCATATCTTTTCACCGTCCATTCTTCAAATTGATCATTTCTCGAAGCCAGGAATCATATTTTTTTATTACTACGGGTTATATTCAGAACATGTCAATATGTGGTTTTAATTCTACTTCTCCAAAGTCAGCGAAATCCTTTCACAATAACAGCTTGGATGACCAGTCCCACAATGAAATGAATTTACACAATGTGCAAAATAAACTCAGCCTTAAGGATCATATAACTTAAGTGGTGTAGAATATGTTCATCTGATGCTATTGGAATATAGCCCATAGTGTTAAATTTCGTCCTTGTGAGTCTTGATTGATACAAAAAGTAATTATTTATGTACATTTTTCAAAAATATCATTTCCGAAGTATAATGAAAGTTGAATATGTTAGACTACATGAATTTTCTGAACGTAATAAATTTAACTTATGAATTGATTATATTTAAAATAGATCAGATTTTATCATACTATAATGTTTCGAATTGAGTGAAGTTGTTTTGAGAATAACTTGAAAGAATACATCTATTCTATCCACGTATTATTTCTGGTGAGATTGTTCATGGATTACACATTTCAATTGAATTTTATTATTTCAGTTTGTATCACACTGTCATGATGTAGCTTATGCAGAATGTATTCAAATCCTTCAGATATACAATGTCTTTGGTTTTAATATCAGTTCAATTGATATCCATACTTTTTCAAGTTTTGTAAAAAATCTTGCACTCATATTACTCTTCTGATTTTGTGATTGATTTACAAGGAAAAAACTGATTTATGTTCGTATATATGTAATAACTAAATAATTTTTTCTTTGGATAAAAATAATTTTCATTTACATTTGGGTAATGCAAATTTTTTTCTCTTTAAATGATTGACACAGATTTTTTTTAAACGTATCTATTACTATTCAGATACATTGTATCTTAAATACATTCCAACATATTTAAATAATTTCAATTGAAATTTTAAAAAATATAATTTAAATCTGCTTCTACTTTTTTTTATTTTTGTGTTAGCTAGAGTAAAAAAATGTAAGTGAAATTTTTATATAAGTTGACTAACAACGCTTGTTAATTTGATTTTCTTACCAGGTTTGATTCAATATTTCTGTTCATAATTCATAGTTCAGAAAGTTTGAATAGATTTTTAATCAAATTACGTACAGTAGATTTAGGGAAAAAAAAATACTGTTTGAAAAAAAAATTCTTTGGAAAAATATATCTCTCAATTTATTTAACTTATGCAATTCATGTAATATTTTCAAATGTTTTGAAGTTGATGATTTTGAAAGTTGAATTCAAAACATTTTCTTAAACAAATTTTTTTTAAGAGTGAAGATAATTGATCAAACTGTTGTTTGTCCAATGAAAGAATGTAAAATCCTAAAATTATCATCCCATATAAAAAATTCATTTTTTTCAATTTTTTCTCTAATATTTTTATAATATTAAGATTTAAATCATTAGCTTTATATATAATTATCTGGTTAAATCTAAATCTTTCATTGTGCAGATGCTTCTGATGATTCCATTTATCAAAAAAATTATTCACTATTTATATTTGAATAAAATCCTCATTTTTATAAAAAAAATATTTCAAAATAATCCTTTTGAGAAAAAAACCTATTAATTAATTTAAATAAACATAAAAAATTATATATTTGATAAAATATTCATCATTTATCAAAATTTTTAAAAAAAGCTAGCTTTACTCAAGTTGGGGATTAACTTTAATTAGTTAAACTTGATTTGAAGGTTTTGTAGATTTAGAGTTTTTTAAACCCAGGAAAAGAGGGTGAGATGTAGCTCCACTCAAACAATGTTTTACATTTTCAGTGTAGTTTAATGCTCCTCTGAATGTAGCTCGGGAGAGACTAATCGCGTCTATGTTTGAGTGTGGTGATCTTTTGATTTTCCTATGAATTTTTCATAACAAATCAATTTTTCAATTTTTTTATGTTCATATTGTTATTTGCTTTGAAAATTAATTCTATAAAATAAACAGTTTTTGAATAATCAAAAAATATTATATGTATTTGCTATTGCAATTTCTTTTCACTTTAAAAATGCTTCTAGTTCAATGATCCTCTTTCACTATTCAGCTATCATGAATCATTTAGGGAAAAAATAAAAAACTCATTTTTTAACATAATGAATTTTTAATGTTTTATTATTTAATGAGATTTCATCTTTGTTTGACATTAGAAAAAGAAAAAAATTAAAACTTTCACAGTGTAAAATAGCAACCTTAATGTTAAGTTTTTCCCCTGAATATGCTTAATGTATTTTCAATTTTGATAATTTTTGTTGTGACATTGATATTGATATTCAAATTTTAATAATTCTTTTCTCAAATTGTCTTTTAAATTTGATAGAATTTTCACACTCTCACAATGACTTTCAAAAAATTTTGAGATGAATTCCTGATTTAATATATTTAAATCAATCAGTGAATACTATAAAGTTGAACATTTTCTTTTTAAAAAAAATATATCAAATCATCTATATCAACAATTTTTCATCAGATGAAAGTCAGATTGAAGACGTTTGATAGGATGAAAAAATAATTGAAAATTGCAGATGATTTATTTTATAATATACAATTCTAGTGTATGCTTTGATTAAGTTTTACTTATTAAATTACAAATATTAAAACTTTCTTGTGAGTTAGTTGATATATTATATTTTGAGCAAAAAAAAATTTGGGATCTTTATAATTGAGTTTTTTCAAAAGTACTTGCAAGATTGAAATATTGACCCAATAGTAAAAAGTTGTATTCTAAATTTAATTTGATCAGATTATAAATATATTTTGTAAGAAAAATTGAAAAAATGTCTTTTCATATTTCTACTTTATATACGAATTCTTTGTATGTAATATTTATTATAATTTTTAATATTATTAAAAATTTCTTATTATTATTTTTATACCTCCCAAGTAAATTTTGGTTTTTGCAATCAACAATTTAATTGTTTAGTGTTGGAAAAGTTTAACTGTTGGAAAAGTTAGTGGCAATCATGAATGCAGCAACTTGTATTTGAAAGAACCCAAATTTAATGCATAAGATTATAAACTGAAATGTGAGAACTTATAAATATGAGTTTGAGAGATGACCGATGTCAAAAAATAGATTTAATCACCTATCAATATAGGGGTATATATATTGTGAATTATAATAAGATGATAGTGAAAAATGATATACAAGAGTATGTTACGTTGAATAAAAGAAAGATCAATACGAGTTATTACGATATGGAATTGAACACTGACTTTTCACATTTTGAGGAATAAAAAAATATTTTCCTCTTTGTAATTAAATTATATCTATTAAAATTCACTTATTATATTGCAAAGGATAATAGAAAATGTACCATAACTTGCAAAATCAGCGTGATAATGCGAAGATAATGTTAAGGTAGTAAAGTTCATATAGAAAATGCCTGGATGATATTCATGAACCACGATTGTAATAACTTAGAAAGGTTAATTGAGAAAATTTTGTATATGATGTAGGCTTGTATATTTCTATAAAAAATAACGATATTTATTTTTAAGCGTTTTTTGGTTGATTTGTGTTGACACATTTGTAAAACATAAAATTATTCATTCATTTTTTGAAATCTTCATATTCATAATAAATGAAAAAAAATAAATGCATATTTTTATTAGATTTAATTGATAAAAATTTCATATTTTACAAATTTAAATCTTTGCGCTTGGAGTATTGATGCAATTAGTGAGGTGAAATCGAGACACATCAATTGAAACTATTTCATTTCTTTCATAGAACATTATGATTTAATTTAAGAATTTTTTTTAACTTAGATTAAAATTAAACACTTATAGGTTCTATAATAACACATTTGATAAGGATGATAACATATTTAGATTTAAATTGAAAAAACTAAAATACATGATAAATTAAGGAAAATTTGAACTTCTTTGTACTCATCATTATTGTTCCAACTTTAAGCGGAGATACTCTTCATCTTTCTTGATGAGTTTAAGAATCGTTAAAGAATGATCATTTCGAGACGAAGTATGTTGATATGGTTGGCAAAAGCAAAGGAGAGAAATGAAAAAACATCTTTGAATTTGAGAATGCTTTTTACATTGACAAAACCTCTACTGTAGAAGCAAGAGAAGAAGATTACAACAAGCAAAAGTAGTACAATGAAGAATACAAATAAGGAGCAAATGAAAAATTGAATGAGTATGTTTAGAAGGACAAAAAGTCTAAGAAACAACAAAATTTGAAGAAGAACACAAAAGCTATCAATAATCAAACCAACCGAACACTTCATCAAGTGATTTTTCATCTTTCTTGATGAGTTAAAGAAGTTATTTAAGTAATATCATATCGAGACAAAGGATGTCGTCGTGGTAGGCAAAGCCGAAAGAGAGAAATGGAAAGACATGTATGAATTTAAGAGTATTACTACATTAACAAGTTTCAACAAAAGAAGCAAGAATACGATAAGTTTATATCAACATACAACTATCAAAAGCAGGAGTATGAACAAAACAAAGATCAAATGAGGCTGTTGTGAAAGACTCAAAGTTAAAGAAAGAGTGGAAATCCAAGAAGGTCACAAATGATGCCAAAAACAAAACAAACCGAAGAGGTCATCAACTAACTCCTCCATCTTTCTTGATGAGTTCAAGAAGTTGTTTAAGGAAGATAATCTCAAAGCTAAAATGATCGGTGTGGTTGGCAAAGTAAGAGAAGAGAAATGGAAGTACGTAGCTGAATTTAAGAAGTCTCTCTACATTGACAAGGTTTAAGAAAATAAAAAGAGTATAACATGTATATGTAAATTAACAACAAGCAATAGCAGGAGGATGAAAAAAACAAAGATGTAAATCAAATGAGACTGTTGTGAAAGACAAAAAGTCAAAGAAACATCAAAAGTCCAAGA